TACTTTTACACACTACTTTTTTTACTTCATATCCTACTTTTTCCACTGTTATATACTACTACTATACTATACTACTACCATATACTACTATTTCTACTATTGTGTACTACCTTTTCTGCTGTATATACTACTTTTTCTACTATTATATACCACTTTTTCCACTGTCATATATTACTTTTTCTACTATTATGTACTACCTTTTCTGCTATTAAATACTACTTTTTCTGCTATCATATACTACTTTTCCCACTATCATATAGTACTTTTTTTACTATAATATACTACTTTTTCTACTGTTTTATTCTGCTGTTATATACCACTCTTATTTACTATTTTTCGATTATTAAATACCACTTTTCCTAAGTCTAGTTAGCTATTGCTAATAAATTAAATCTAATTAACTTATTATTTTCAATCTTCTAAAATTATTTAGTATTTCACCTTGTAAATTCTAAGAAAACAATACAAGCAATGCACTTTTCTTGAATATAGAAATATAGTAGTATGTAGTTGAGAAGTGATTTATTTTACTATATTGAAATGTTAAAAAAAACATGTAACTAATTACCGTAAAGTAACGGATTTGCGATAATTAGAGCTTTATTTAACTTATTTAAAATCCAATAATAGTCGCATGACTGGCCTGGGAATTGAGTGCCGCGACACGATTGAGGCAATTGCTGATGATTCAATAATAGTGCAGAGACTGATAAGATATAAAGAAAAATATATAAATAAAATAAATAAGCAACAAAAATATAATAGTAATAAAAAGCATACACATATGTGCATGAGAGCAGAACATTGACTTCAAAAAAAAAAAAACTATTTATGTATATTTATTTAGTGCATTGCACATGTCTGATTTCATTGAGGCGAGCCTCCTTTCAGCCCTGCAATCAATAGGTATGCCATAGCCTTAGCTGTCGGCCTTAATGGGCTTTGTTACACTCATATATACATACATATACACATGCACACAGCATAAATACTGAGAGGTTTTGTGCCTATAGGTATGTATGTTGATATGTTTGTTTGTTTGTTTGCTTATTGAATGCAACGCAGAGCCATAATGTTTAAATTGGTTGACTTCGGACGTTATTTGTCATGCAAAACGTTCTTAATTGAGCAGGAGAACAAAACATACAAATAATAAATTACTTTTTATCTATATACTCATTTGCACATATGTATGTATGTATGTATGGATGTATACGTGTATACTGCCATAGTTGCAAGCAATGAGACGAGTTCAATGCACGCTGTTATGACTTAGCTTCAGTACTTTTAATCGGCGTTAATTTGACTCACAAAATACATATGGATATATATATACGTATATATATTTGTATCTATAAATGAATTCCCAATGGCTATTTTTAATTTGACTTCACAACCGGCGTAGAAACTTCTAGAAAATAGAGTTTTTGCGCAATCAAGCTACTTCTTAGTAGAAAACAATTCAGTTTTTTACTCTTTCAACAAACCAGGCACCTACAGTTGATTCTACGTCGCCTCGGAACGGCCGATTTTACACTCGGAGAACTTGATATACTCTGCCAATGGTCGACCGCAATTAAAAGAATTTATTTTCTATAATTTTGAATGTTAGTCAAACCACGACTGGAACTCTGATCTTCAGTCAATAAGCTCTCTAGCAAATACAGTATGACCGTATTGTGTCGAATTCTACTTCTGTACTTGCCAAACACATTGTCTTTGCCAACACTAAGCACCACAAGACACAACTTTCTTGGAGAGTATCAGCGAGGCAATCGCACTAGTTCAACAGAGCAAAGAAGGTCGTAACACTTTCAAAGCATTTATTAGACACAACTAGTTCGCAATCAACTCAACTCAGCTCAGCTCAAATAAAAAATTTCATCGCTTATTGTAGTACATCTGGAAAAAGTCTTCTACAGTATAGTTTTTCTAAGGAAGTTGTGGCAAATTTGTCATCTAATTTAACTGACATTTATGGCAGCTATTTTTCAGTGCTGCCAAGCTATCAGATTATTCATTTCCTTCGTTTCCTTTGAATTGTTAGCAAATCGGAAAAAAGTTGTTTGTTTTCTTTGAAAATATTTTAATGGCTTATTAAAGATTTTGTTACAAAATTTTTGTGAAAATTTCATAATTTGTGTTTATATTTACATAAACATATGCCTTCATTGTAACCAATTAAAATTATTTTTTTTATAAATAAATGTAAGAGCAATTTTTAAATTATAGTACAAGTTTTTATTATAATCACAAACCTGGTATTTCGATGAAAAAAAATTAAAATTTTATAATTAAAGTGAAAATAAATTCGAATCATAAATATGAAATTCATATATACATGTGTGCATACATATAAACAAACATGAAAGTAAAGAAATTTCGAAAGTAAAATAAAAAATGTTTAATTTAAATATTGATAAGCACTTGTTTAAATATATAAATATAAAAATTAAGGGGGTTATTGTTTAAACACAAATCAGTCAATAATGATTAACACGTTAGCACGTCAAAAGAATTAAATAATTCATATTTTAACTCAATTACTTTTCCACTTTCTTTCGTTTATTAAATATTATTACGCTCAATCAGAGCAACTCAAAGCAATTGCAGTAATAAACCATTTATATGTACATATATATATAAAACAAATACAAAAATTGAGTAACTTTATTAAGTTATTGTCAATAAATAAATTAATATTAAAATTTATTAAATTGCATTTTTTTTAATTTTTTTATGGTAAAGCGATATTCAAAGTCAATTTGTTTTGTCAACAAATTTGTTTAAACATTTCTTATTTAATTTATGCAAATTTACTTGACAACCGAATGGTTAAAGGAACTAGAGTATTTCTTACAAAATAAAAATTAAATATATACACATACATACATATGTATATATGTGTTTTTATAAAAAATATGTGCAGAAAATGGAAAAAAATAAAGGAATACGAATAATTGTTTGTAAGTAAAATTATTTTACACGAGCGTGAAATTTTTACTTATATATGTTTGTATATGTAATATTATTTGTTTGTAAAAATGATATATATGCCTATATACTGTGTAATTTACAACAACTGTTATTAATGTGTAATAAACAATTGAATACCGTAATTTCGGGATAATTGTGTGATAACCTCGGGATCCCCGGAAATATTATACATGCAGACACGTGCATAAGACTGGTCGTATAATTTAGTAGTAGTTAATTGTATAGTAGATATCATTTACTAAAAAAAAATATTAGTTTTTTACTTATTTATTATTATTTAGTTATATATAAATATAAATATAAATATAAATATAAATATAAATATAAATATAAATATAAATATAAATATAAATATAAATATAAATATAAATATAAATATGAATATGAATATAAATAAAAAAATAAAATTGATAAGTTTATATAAAAAAATAATAATAATTTATTAATTTATGTTAATTTTATTAAGTTAAAAATATTTTTCTCTTTACTTTATAAAAATTTCATATTAATAGTCGGTGCTTATTTTAGTGAATATTTCTAAAAATAAAAAAAATAATCTTACATTACACATACAAAACAAAACCACTTTAATTGCGAAGTATTTTGTAAACAATATTGCCATTATTGTCGTCAAACAAGTGCACCACACACAATACACATACATATGTATGTACATATAAAATACATACCCACAGACCGGGTGCATTTCTTGTTCGTTGTATACTTACAAGCCGAACATATATATAATTAAATAGACAGTTTTTATCTATGTACATTTATATATAATATATGCGCATATAATGATTTTAAGGCACATAATATGTATGTATATATTTCAGCACGACATCAAAACGAGTGAAAACAATAACAAATATATGTAACATTAAGTTTAGCATATTTAGTTGTAACATTTGCGAAAGAAATATGCATACATTATATTTATTTTTATTTATTTCAATAAAGTCTATTACTTTGACATGTATGACTAATTTCGCGGAAATTATTGCCATGCACACTAATAACAACAATTAAAAGCATTTGTTGTTATTGAGAATCCAGCAAGAATTTCAGCTCAAATATAAGATTATTTTAAAAAAATAAAAAAAAATTAAATAAAATTCTTACAATCTTTAAATTATTTATTGCGTTGCTTTTAGTTTTTTCACTTATATATATATATATATATATATTTATATATATATATACTTTATATATTTATATATATATATACTAATGTATAATAAGAAAATTAGATTTAGGAATCATCAAAATTGTTAATATTGATATGACACTTATGAACGTTTAATTATTGTCTAATTCCATTGACAATGACACCTGTTATTACATTTTATTGCACACTTCATGTCTGCTAAACGCCGCTGTCACAAGTATGTTATAAGAGGAAGTGATAATAGCCAGACATTTGATAAGGCACAAAATCGTTAATGCATATTTAAGTGTTTGTATCTATGCATTTGTCTATTGTTATATTTATATTTATCTTGAAACTGACGCACTTCACTTTTTAATGCCCACTTCTTTTGCCGCCAGCGAAAAAGTGAAAGAAATCGCTTCGCAATAATATTTTGCCATTGAGAATCTGCGATAAATAATCTCCAACAAAAGTTAACTATCCAATATGCTTTAGCTAACCTTATCTTTGCAGGCAATAATGTTTGACGTGGCTTCGCAAATTATCCTTAAATAAAAGTGTGTTTTATGCATTTTCACTTTACTCTTTTATCAATAGCCGGTCTACTTTGAGCATTAGCGAAAGAGCATATAAGTCGCGTACCAATTAAAAACTGCCGGATATTAATTTTTTGTGAAAAAAAGGTTATCACTCTTGCAGTCAAAGATAGAGAAGTTACAATTCAATCTGGCAATCGCGACAATGGCGATGCTTTTTCCAACAGTGCTGCCCATCATGATGACGGAACAAAAATTCAATTCAAACGGAACTTCGTTCGTGCATTACAAAAGCAAACGAATGGAATGGAAATTTTAGAGAAATTTTATTGTGTTTGATATTATTAGTGTTACTAATGCTTTTACGTGCGAGACGAATCGTTTAGACTTGTTGAGCTCGTGCCTTAGATATTATATTACATCATTGGCTGCAGGAAGGAAGATTAAAAATTAAAGCCAAATTGTGAGAAATGAGTTCGTTGGTGATAATTTTCGTTGAATTCATGAAGATTGAGTTTTTAAGTGTGATATTCTTCTAGTGATAAATATTATTTTTTCCAGCTGAAAATTTCATTTACCACAAAAAAATGTAAGCTAAATTAAATCTCAAAGGATTTTAAAATATATTGATTTTTATGTGATTAATTAATCGACCTTTAATAAAACAATTTCTGTCTAATTTTTATGACTGCTACTTGCTTAAAAATCAAATTCTATAATTTATAAAAACATAGTAACCTTCTTAACCTACACATTGTGAGAATTTGACTTTACTAAGGTACGCTTTTTTCGTTTGTTTCACGAAGTTTTAAGCTATTTTATTTATTAAAAAAAAAAAATTAAATAAAACATTTAATAAATTTAGAAATTCCCAACACTTGCGTTTGTTTCATCACAACAATTTTAAGCATCAATTTATTTTTAGTGAAAAGTATGCTGCTACTTTTTCTGTTTTATTTTTGTTTGTTTTTTTTCGAAAAAAGCGTGGCGCCGTTAAAATTAAACATACTTTCAACTGTCGGGAATGTGGGGATAATTTACTATAGCAATGTTTTCAGCAACCATTGACGCACGTCATAAGTAAAAATATAGAATATCAGCAGTGATATGAGTTATATGGATGATTTCTAGTGGAAGTTTTCGAAAACAAAAGCTAATGATTTTATAAACATTTATGATGATGTATAATATACATACCTATTTTTCTCTTTGCATATTCATTGGCAGAAAAAATATTTACCTTTATGTAATATAGGCATATGTATGAAAGTGAATATGTGCAGATGTATAGCGCATACATGTGTACACACAATTATCAGCAAAACGGACACAAACGAGTCGAGCCCCCTTTTTCAGCAGAGGCTCGTATGCAATGAAATATTGCCAGATACATACACGCATATATTTATTTATGTAAATATATGTACATACAAAAATATTTGTTTGTGTTAGTGCCCACATGCTTTTATTTCTAGGGTGTGATAAGCGAGATTTGTGATTATTTAGAATTTTTTTGCAAAGCGGAAATTCGTAAATTTCATAATTCATATTTTTACTTTACTTTTGTTTATTTTGCGCTCTATTTTTCACGGGAAACTTCGTTATTTCCCTATGATGTAAATTTTGCAATATTATTAAGAAACATAAAGCATTCCCACTTGTTATTCTTATAAATTATTTTTAATTTTGTGTTATCGATTTTTTTTTGCAATAAAAAACAAAAATTGATTCGATTTAACCACGCCCCAATTAGAATTTTATGAATTCCTGCTCTCGAATGTTAAATGAAATATAAACTCTTTAACCCACTTGCAGTAGGAAAGAAGGATTTCATATTTTTTTATTTATTTTTTATTTTAATTTTTTTTTTGTTAATGAAAGTGTGACTTTAACTCGCAGACAAGTAATTAAATTAAAAAAAAATGCTCACAGAATTTTATAAAACTTGTTTTGTTGCCATACTAATGCAGAGCTTCAAATATCAAGTTTTTATGTTAATTAATTTTTAAATAAATATTTAGTTTATTAATAAAATAAACAAAAATTTGCGAAAGAAAAGTATGAGTGGTTAGCGGTTTTTGTATTTTGTTTCTGTAATTAAATTTTATTTTATTTTTGAAATAACGATATTCACCTTATTAAACAACTGTAGTTTTCAATGTAAACAATGATAGTGTTGAAACACATTATTGCGTGAGAATAATATTAATGTGTATATACATAAATATATATATATGCATGTAGATTTAACACACTTAACATTTCGTTATTAACATTTTTATGGTCGATGACCCATTGCCGGAGATTATCAGTAGTAGACATTGAAACACACTTGCTAAGCTTCAAGGTTCTTTTCAGCAAAATAGTACGACCGGAATGTCTAAATAAATGCTAATTAGGTTAAGATTACTCCTTCTAATTAAGAAAAAAAAAAAACATGAAAAAGTATAACAAACACAACGTTCATTTATCAAAAAATTATAAATATTTCATAAGCATTATTAATAAAGAAAATGTTAAAACAAATTAAACTAAAAAATAACAAATTAATTAATGTTAAGTAAAATCAAATAAAAAACTAAAAAAAAATAAAATAAATTTATATAAAATAAAATAGATAAAACATTATAAATGAAAAAAATTAATTTAAATAAAATAAAATTTAATGAAATAAAACGAAGTAATATAAAATAACATAAAATAATATAAAATGAAATAAAATAAATGAAATAAAAAACTAAAATAAAATGTAACAGAGTTATAAATAAAATAAAATAAAATGAAATGAAATTAAACAATATAAAATAAAAAACATTTTAAACAAAATATAATAAAATAAAATTATATAAAAAATGGAATAAAATAAAATAAAATGAAATAAGATTAAGTAAAGTGAATTAACTATAATTAAGTAAAATAATATAAAATGAAATTAAACAAACTATAATAAAAGAAAACTACATAAAATAAAAAAAAATTAAAGGGAATTACACAAAATAAAATAAAATAAAGTGAAATTGAACAATATAAGATAAAATGACATAATAAATAAAATAAAAAGATTTAAAAAAAAAATAAAATAAAATAAAGTAAAATAAAATAAAATGATATAAAAAAATGAAATGAAATAAAATGAAATCAAGTAAAATGAATAAACTATAATAAAGTAAAATAATATAAAATGAAAATAAACAAACTAAAATAAAAGGAAACTACATAAAATAAAAATAAAATTAAATGAAATTACACAAAATAAAATAAAATAAAATGACATAAAATACAATAAAATATAAAGAAATTAAACAAAATAAAATAAACAAAATAAATAAAATTACATAAAATGATATAAAATAATATGAAATATAATAAAATAAAAAAAAATAAAATAAAAATCGAATAATGTATATTAAAATAAATAAAATACAATAAAATAAAATAAAAAATTATAAAACAACTTATTAAATTAAATAAAAAAAATGTAAAAATAAAATTAAATAATTAAAATAAATGAAAAAAATATAAAATATAGAAAAATAAATCCAGAAGATATAAAATTGCATAAAACATAACATAAAAATAAAATAAAACAAAACAAATTAAAAAAATTACCGGAATTGAATAAAATCAAATAGTTTAAAAAAGTTTACTAAAATAAAATAAAAAAATAAAAGTAAATTAAATGAAATAAAATAATACAAAAAATTAAATTTAAAAATATAAAATAAAAAAATATAATTGAAATAAAATAAAATAATATTAATCAAAGTGAAATAAAATAATATTAATTTAAATAAAACAAAACAAACAAAAAAATTTAACGAAAAGAGTTTAAATGAAATAAATAGATATGTACAAGAAAATGAGATCCAAATTTGTGTATAATAAAAAACTCCAAAAATCTAATTACTCCTATAAAAGTCTTTCATATGCAATTGCTTATTGCATTTACTTAAATAATTATATCATTGGACAGTCTCCTCACACAAATGATAAAAATGTAAAACAATGCATAAAACTACATACATACCTACACACTACATCCATATATATATATATAAACATGAATATTCCAGCTTTGTGTAGCGTATGTGATTAGTATAATTAAATTAAAACCGTAAATATCACGTGCCGATAAATTGACATTGAGTACCCAAACGAACAGACAACTAGGGCGAAAATTATATGAGATAAAAGTACCGCTAGATAGCCGACGTTTATACATACATATACATACATACATATATATTTCATATAATTGATTGCTGTTGACTTTTGATTAGACGTACATACATATTTCACGTTCTAACACTTACATAGATTTGCTTTGATACAGTTGTATAAATATAAAAACATACATACGAATATGTACATATGTACTTAAGGACATATTGCATTAAATAATTTAAGTTAATAACTCAAATGCTCGTGCGTATCAGTCTGAAGCCAGACAGTTATTGGCTTAAGTCCAAATAATGGAAATAATGTTATCTACAAATACAAAGCACACCTCCAAAATACCTTTACGTTCGTACATACATACACGTATGTACATTTGTATATGGGAATGTTTATATAACGACAGTAATGACATTTTTAATATATCCAGTTACGTGCGTTCATGCGTAGGTACATGCATACATATGTATGTACATATGTACACATTGCGCAAATATCTAAAACGACTGAGCTAACTGACTTTCATGTATGTATGTATGTATGCCATATTTTTTCACAGACATATTTACATATCAAAATATTAGCAAATTTTTAAAGAGTATGAAAGTATATGAATGTAGGTATGTCTGTAAGTGAGTTCATTGAAATTGAAATCTTTTGAATGTCAAAAAATATTTTTTTTTTGTTTTGTGACAATAACCTAAATTTACACACGCTGCGGACGAAGGTAGACAACAAATACATACAAATATTGATATATTTGTACTTGCTGGAGGCCAATAGGGCGATTCTTACATACCCATTGATATTTGTATATGTATATGTTCGTGTGTATGTATGTATGCATATAAAAGGAACGTTTGTAGTTGATATTGACGTCATTAGCGGCTTTGGTCTCATGATGGTGAATCATCAAATAATTTTTACATTTTTTTTGTTTTAATTATTTTAAAGAGATTGCAGTTTTTGTTTTATCTTTGTTAAATAAAATTGTTTAACTTATTTTAATTAATTTTCTGATATTATTTCAATTTGAAAAATATTAAATTTCTTACAAAAGAACTTTTCAAAATTTCTTTTCAAATTTGCTGTGTCGTTATTATATGTTTTTATTTTATTTTTTTAATATTCATAAATCTACGATAATATGTTTCGGTCTGAAATTAATGTGAATTAAAAGGAACCACCCTAAGTACTCAGTACTTGTATAATTTAGATATTTTGTAATCAAGCCAGTTATTTATTTAAAGCTTCTAATTTGTGAAACAGGTTTTTTTTTAAACAAATAAACAAGTTCTATATTTTGTAAGAATTTCTCATTTAAAACTTATTTACATTATTTACTTCCGAAGGAATTCGGATATACCGAACAGGTGTGAGATACATACTTATGTATATATTTGCAAAATTTATGTCTTTATTTGAATAAATATAAAAACTCTTAAAATCGTGACCAGAAATTGTATTTCCGTTCCATAATAAAAGCTTAAAGTTCAGCTTATTTAACATAAACAAAGGACTCAAGCTACAAAAACAAAGTTAATGTCATTAAATATCAAAAAAAACTGCGGATTTTAGAAGATTTTTGTTTAAAATAAAAAAAAATGGAAATAAAATTGAATAAAAAACTAAAAATAAAATAACACAAAGATAAATAAAAAAATTTCACAAAAAATAAATTATAATAAATAAAATAAAATAACATAAAATAAAAGAAAATAAAAAAATAAAATAAATTAAGATAAATTATTGAATTAATAAATAAATAAAATCAAAAAAAATAAGGTAAAACAAAATAAAATCAAAATTATAAAATAAAAAATAGTATAAAATAAAAACATTAATAAAAATAAAATCAAATTGAAGCAAAAAAAAAAACATAAAATAAATAAACACAAAATAAATTAATTTAAAGTTAACTAAAAAGAAAAATAGTTTAAATGATTTTAATTAAATTAAATTAAATAACTTAAGATAAATTAAAATTAAATTAAGTTAAATAACACAAAATGAAAAAATAATATAAAACAAAGTAAAATTTAATAAAATAAAAGTTAATTGAAATAAAATAAAATAAAATAAAGAAATTAATCGAAATAAAATAAATTAAAAATAAATAAGATAAAAAATAAAATAATATAAAATAAAACAGAATAAAATAATGCAAAAAAACTAAAATAAAATAAAATAACATAAAATTAAATTAACTTAAATAAAATAAAAAAATTTATTGAAATAAAATAAAATATAAAAATTAATTGAAATAAAATAAAATAAAAATAAATAAAAAATTGATTTAAATAAAACCAAATAAACCTAAATAAAATATAAAATAAAAATAAAATAAAATACAATTAAAAAATAAAACAGAATGAAATAACACAAAATAAAAAAATGAAATAAAATAACACAAAATCAAATTAACTTAAACAAAATTGATTTTTTTTTGCATCATGAAATAAATAAAAACAAAAATAAAAAAAAAATTAATTAAGATAAATCAACTTAAACGTAGTCTAAGAGTCCACTAAAACTTTGTTTCAATTCTAGTTCAATGAGTATAAATTCAACGATTTTTTATATAAAAAGGGTCGACATTTACCTTGAATTGCATACATTTCGGCTTGCAAGGTTCAAGGCAAATAGTTTTTAAAAAATTTTAATTTTTTTTGAACGTACAGAAAATTGAGCGGAATTTGAAACTCTTTGTATATACATACATACATATGTACATCCATAAGTACTATATATATTTGTTTAATTTAAAAAATTTACTATATGTATAAATTCAAAAGATTTTAAAAACATGAATGAAAATAAATAACAAATATATACTAAAATATTTAATGCTACATATATAGACATATATACATTTATACACGCATGTCTCTTAAAAAAAAAAAAACATAAATACATATTTAAAACAAATTTCTTGCATCTCTACGTTCAAAAATTGCCAATCTACGCAAAACCACGCTAAAAACAAATTTATACTTATTTATGCATTGCACATGTATATACATATGTTTGTACTTATGACTACAAATGATTTTTTCAATAATTCCATTTGGCAGCAGACTGCGTCTTTGCGCGCTCACAGCATTTTCCATAAAGAAAAACAATTTCGAATAAATAGTAAAAGCAAAGAATATTCAATTTCTTTATGCTTATTTTCACTGGTGAAAAATATTAGAAACAAAAGTCGACGTAATTTGAAAATAAACTATAGGCCATGTATGTATGTATGTGGTTCATGTGCGTTAATGCTCGTGCAGTTGTTCATAAGCAAAATTCTAGTTATACATATGTGCTTATGCATGTATATACGTGTATATGTATATATGTCGTCTTGAAATGACCATGAGAATAAACGATTCCGCAAAAAAAAAAAATTGTCTATTCCAAATAACGGTGTCTCTTATTAACTATTTAACACATAAACAAAAATATTTTATACAAACAATGAAACTTAGCCAGGCGTGCGAGTTTGACGGAAGTTCATGCAACCCAGTCTATATTTACAATTGTATATGTATATGTACATATACAAATGTATGTCCACTTGTTTGAATTGCATTTCCGTTATATGCATACAGACATATATGGCTAGCTTCTGGATATTTTCAATTAAATAGCAATTTCATATTAAATTTATCGTTTTTCTTAAAAAAAAATACTTGATTAAATGATTAAAAATTGCATTTAAGAGCTTTTATCACAAGCTAATATGTACATATGGAAATGTATGTAGGTATCTACGAATTTTGAAGTATATATGTATGTACATATGTGGGTATGCCGTATTCAAAATCAAGTCTTGGGTAAATTCTAAGAAAAACTAATCATTACTTATACTTAATGCGATCATTTGCACATACATACAAACATACATAGTATGTATGCATGTGTATAAATTTTTTCAATGCTGTTCGGTCAGCTAATAATCACTAACAATTGTTTCCAATTGAAGTGGAAGCGTGTTTGATGTAGCAAAAAGCTAATAAAATTTGCACCGATAGAGCACATTTTTGACATTTCGTTACTATACATATATTGTAATTCATACTGAAATTTCTCAACGAACAGTGCTATTATCTCATGGCGTATTTCAGTGTGGGCAGAAGTTTTCGATTTATAATTTCTCTTAATGCATAATAATGATGTATTTGGTATGGGAAATTGGAGAAACTGCAAAGCTCTACCGTCATTTTGGTTATGGTGCCTTCCTGTAATGAGAACACATTTAGTTTAGATATAATATTTTTACTAAATTTTACCTTTTTACCGGGACTGAACATTTCCGCATTAGGAGTTATTGCAAAGTTTTTTTCTTAAATGATTTCCAAAATATCTTCTTCTTGTTCATATTTAAATTTGAGATTCACTGCATAAATGTAAATTGTTTACTTTCATACTAAAGCGAAAGAGAGAAGAAGAAGAAAAAATATTGTTAAATTTACTTTCGAACGCACCTACCTTACCTGTACTTATTGTATATATATACATATATTAATTTCTTACATATGTATTGCATTCAAATATTTACAAATAAAAAAAACTTGCAAATTTGATGTTGTACTCCGAACTTGTTTATTTCTCACATCTGCCGATTTCTACGAAACCATTAAGATCACGTTTGGCCCCAAAAGGTGTAGTATAAAAACAAAAAATCACACATGTGATCTTTTGTTTATGATAAATATAATTAATTTTTTATTCTTTTTGCTTTATGCGCAGCGTCTACCTGAAGGGGAATTTTATTTTTTCTTAGCCGCAGATTAAATAAATAAAAAAGAATAATTAATAAATTTTTAAACCAGTTTTGAACTCTACAACACTTGAGCCGCTCCATACAAACACACTTTTAGCCACTTCCCAGCAGATATACGCCTGTATATATGTATGTACAACATCGATGAAAGATGCATGAACAAGCAGTGCTGTTGGCATGCCAATATAATAGTTTTATGTAAAAAAAAGTAATAAAACTATAACGGACTGCACTGAGAACTGGTCAGTGACAGTGGTAGTGTTCCACCGCGTTCTCCTCCTCATTATCTGAGAAGCATTCCATCCGTCTACCATGAGTCCCTACAAGATAGTGTCCGGTGAGTACGTCGGTTGTTATGCTTATGGAGATCTGGCTTAGAAGAAGTAGAGGCTTAGGTCTGCTATTGACACATACGTGGATTCGCTCTGCCATCCGCTATTGGCACTGCCGGTGAAGACTAGTCTTAGCGCAGATACTTTGCCGAGGAAAGCGGTATGCGCATGTCATGTGCAGAGTTTACCGTGATTAAGAACTCTGTTCTCTTTCTAGCCAGTTCGTCGGCTAAGCAGTTAACTGGAATGTCACTGTGGGATCAGAGACTCAAAGCACGAACTTTTCGCATGCAGTGAAGTGGAGAGTTTGTTTACGATCTCTACATTTTATTTCTACCCTTGAGGTGATATCATTGCATTGGGGAGACTTAATGGCAATCTAGTTGTCAGAATATATTGTAAAAGGTTGGATTGATGTACATTTTTAGAAATTAGCAACGATGATGCGCTTAGTTCCGCTTGAAATACGCTGTAGTGTTCGGTAAGTTATTTACCTAAGTCTATAGCTGTGCGTAAACTCCACAACCTCCACAACCTACTTTGTCTTTTAGTTGAGAGCCGTCGGTGGCGATAGCTATGGATCTATGATATAGAACCGCTACATTTTCTTTATGTTGGTGTAGTCCACCACCCCTGCTGACAGTGATGTAGAGTTTAGTACCTGGGCATGTTCTATACGGCTCCGCCATGGTTGAGTTGCATTTAGTCTTATCACGTTGCAGCTCGCATGGAGTTTCCTGTATAAGTCTGCCGGGAGAAGATCAAGCAGAACATAAAAAAAACTTTGTCTTCAATTTCGCAGTGAAGAAAATTTGTATGAGAATTTTTTTTTGTAAAATATGCGTAGATATATATATACAGTATGAGCAGTTCAATTTAACATTTTAATGAATCCATCGCGCATTTTCACACATACATACGTCATTCATTCTTCTTGTATGCTTACAATTCATTTCACCTGCTTTAATTCTTAAGTAAACACACACACACGCATACAAATACACGCATAAAGCTTAACTGACGAACGCATTCGTATCAAATATTTAAGTATAAATATAAACTTTTAGTTGTTTGATATAAATAACTTTTTTTTTAGTACGAGCGTCATCATTTTAAAATATATAACGGTAGTTGAGTACAGTCTCGAAGATTAAATTGCCTTAAATTTAAATATACTTCTCATATACAATAGTTATAATTCACTTACTCCTGCTAATCAATTCTAATCAATGAGACCGGCATTGCATTCCAACACACGAAAGCCATCAATAAAAGTGTCTGGCGTATTCTTTCTATAAATGGTTTTAAATTTATACTATCTTTTATATATGTATATATATATTTTTTCTTTTTTGTCACGAGCTTTTTGGCATGTGAATTTCCCAAGTACAAAAAAATATATATATTATATATACATATATCATTGACATCACGTGATGACTATGCTTTTATCACTATTTAAACAGTAGAATTGGCTCAAATTGATATCGTGTGTTTAGACTTAAATGCGTATTAAAAATTTTCTAAAGATTTATTGCTGTGATTACCACACGAAGTGTTACTTTTAACGACTCATGATTCGATTTTTTGCTCAATCAATTATAATATACTAAATTGAAAAAATTTCCAAAAGCTTATAGAGTTCTTTTTAATTCAAAAAGTAGTAATTACTCAGGTAAATATAAGTACAAATGAGTAATTTATATTGATTTGATAATGACTTTTTTGTTCACTTTTGAGGAATTTGTAAAATTTATATATTGTAGAATCACTTCATTGCAAACAAACGCTGGGGAGGGGGTTGTCAAAGTTAAAAAATTCGAATGGAATTCACTTTAATTTGTCAAGTTTTGATCACAACACACTTTCCATTCTCTTAAAAAAAGCTTAGTTATTATTTTGTAAAAAAAAAAATTATAATTTAGTAAGTTCGGATTCGAAGAAAAATATAAATCATTTTAGTTATGCATACATACATTAAAACAAAACATTATTTATTGCTAAACATAAACGCTACATACGGCTATACGATAAATAAAGAATAAAGAAGTAGAAGAATATACGCTATTTATCAAAAATAAACTTACTTCTAATACTACAATTCAAAATAGAATGTTTAAAAAATTATTTTAAAATAAAAGTTAGAGTTTTTTGCCGTACAACTACATATATACGTCATTCCTTATGATAGTGCCATAATCACTTTTAAAATTTAACATATAATAATCATGCTTGCTTCGAGTAGTTACCGCAATAACATATGATGCTGCACAATTCTTGATTGCTTTGTATTATTGTATTTCAACTAAGTAACTTATAAATTTTCCATTCTTTTCATTTTTACAGATATGCTATCATGTCGTCAAGTACTCAATATACTCACCATGCTTGGATTCATGTTGAACTATGCACTGCGTGTAAATCTGACAATTGCTATTGTTGCAATGGTCCATCCAGATGTGCATTCACCACCACGTAAAATGCCACAGTTAAATATCACACAGCTTGCTGATAATGCAACGGCTAGCTCAACGACGACAACAACCACAACAACAACTACACAATTGCCACCAACTAATGCCGATGAGAATGATTACTTCCCATGGGACTCTTATCAAACGAACTTTGTATTGGGTTCCTTTTTCTGGGGTTACATATTGACTGAGTTGCCAGGCGGTCGTTTAGCTGAATTAATCGGTGGTCGACGTGTCTTTGGTCATTCTATGCTCTGGGCCAGTTTGCTGACATTGATAACACCACTAGCGGCACACATTAATTATATAATGTTAATTATTGTACGCGTTGTTTTGGGCTTTATGTTGGGCGCTTCATGGCCTGCTATACATCCTGTAGCTGCCGTTTGGATACCACCGATGGAACGTTCCAAATTCATGTCGAATATGATGGGTATGTTTAGTAATAATTGAGTACATATTTTATGTAGCAATTTAAATAATATTTTCATTGCTTTATTGATTGCAGCTTCCTCTTTGGGTGCAGCTATTACAATGCCTGTGTGTGGTTTCTTCATTTCCATTTGGGGCTGGCCCAGCGTGTTCTATTTGACTGGTAAGTAACCAAATTGAAGTTAAAATTAAAAGAAAAATTTAACACCAATCCAATTTTTGCAAACCGCCATTTTTATCGCTTTGAACTAATCAGTGCTGCCAAGTTTGCCGTCTATACGGAAACGGATGAAAAGCTGGTAGTTGCCAGTTGAGAAAAATTAGTTAGAGTAATTAGTACAAATTTAAACTACGAAATAAAAAATGAGACAAGCTCATTAATAATATATTAATAAGTTTAATTAATATATAATTAATTTAAATAAAAATATTTCTTAGGTGGTGTTGGTCTCTTGTGGTCAATCTGCTGGTTCACCTTCATTTATGAAACACCCGCAACACATCCACGTATCAGCTCTGAGGAGCGTCGTGAGATTGAGGATGCTATTGGCAGTTCGACTTCAAAGAAACGTCCTAGTTATGTGCCATGGCGTGATTTGTTCTCCTCGGGACCGGTGTGGGCTATTGTAATTACGCATGGTTTATCTGTATTTGGATTTTTCACTGTGGTCAATCAATTGCCAACATTTATGGATCAAATATTGCATTTCAATATTAAACAGGTAATTAAGTAATTAATTTTATAATTTAATTAATTTTAAATGTGATTTCAACAAATACTATTTAGAGACAAATTACTTATTCATTTCTCTCACAATTTCCTTAGAACGGTCTCTTCTCTTCTTTGCCATACTTGGGTAAATACATAATGGCTTTCAGTTCATCCTGTTTTGCGGATTATCTACTTCAAAAAGGTGCGCTCTCCGTTACGGCCACAAGAAAAATTTTCACAGCTTTTGGTAAGTAATCAAGAATACGGCAAAATTAATTTATTTGGAACTCAATTTAACATTTGATTTCATTTTTCTCAACAGCACTTTTATCGCCCGGTGCTTTAATGATCGCACAAATATTTTTGGGACGTGGTGCCGCATGGTCCGTGACAATATTCACTTTAGCTTTGTTCACGCATGGCGCCGTGACAGCGGGTTATCTTGGTAATGGCTTGGATATTGCGCCTAATTTCAGTGGCACCATTTTTGGCCTGGCCAATACGCTCTCCTCTTTCGGTGGCTTTTTGTCGACGTGGATGGTGGGTGCGCTCACCTATGAAGATGTGAGTACTGCTTATATTTAAAAATGTTTGACTTAATCATATTTATGTAAAAAAAAATTGTTTATTTTGCCAGAAATCATACCATCAATGGCAAATTGTATTCGGCATATTGGCCGGCACATACATCTCCAGCGCTATTGTCTACATAATTATGGGTTCCGGTGAATTACAGCCCTGGAACAATCCACCAGAAAAGAAACGTAGATCTGTGGTTAATGCTGAAGAAGGTGAACCATTGAAAAATGAAAAATCAAATGTACTGGAGAATGCTATGAAGTGAGCACATACAACCAAACATATGCATACAGAACGCAAAGTTTAAAGTATTAGAAAAGATTTTTTTTTCGTAATACCAACACATGCATAGCCTTGTACAAAACGCGGATAAAAAAAGTATGTAGTTGGTAGGAGAAATATTTGTAATAACAAAAGCAATTAAGGCCAACCTCAGTCACTTATTTAGGTATGTGCGCCCACCTACAAGAGTAATGCCATACACAGTGGTGATTGATATTAGTTTAAGTAATACAACAAAATTTAATTTAAGCCACATGTAAATGTAATATAATGAATAAAATAATATTTAGTTTTGGATAAATGTATGTAAGATATTAATATTGGATGGCTGGAAAAATATTCACATATGCATATGTATGTATATACATACATGTATCTGTGGGTATGCACAAACACACAAAACTAGTTGTTGTTCCATTCCAATGTTGGCATGTTGGGGGGGAAATAAGAAAGATGCAACTTAATACTGAAAAGACTTGATATAATTGCCTTTATGTAAAATTAGCTAAGAAATAAAAATTAATTCACTGTGGATTTTATACAAAACCGCATGTTTGACCGTAATTAAGACATTTTCTTATTGCAAGAAAATTAGTTATATTTTTGAACATTTTTAAATTTTTAATTTACGCACCTAACTGCATCTAAATGTCAAAAGAAAAAGAGTTGCCAAACTAATCAAGTAACATTTACATTTAAATTATTAGTATTTGGAAAGTAAATTAATATATTAATTAATGCTTCCATAAAATACAAAACGGCGCTAATAAATATAAACATTTATAAATTGCAACAACAGCAGGCGCATATAAGCAGGTATGATAAAGACATTAATTTAAAATAAATATAAAAAATAAAAAAATATTTAAAAATAGTTTGACTCCATGCATGTAACTTAGTTTATTTATAGTTAACAATAAATTTATTTTGATTACATATATATAAATACATACTTAGTTTGAGTTTTATAAACCTTTGAACACAAATCTACACACATAAAAACAGTGCAGGCCTGAAATGAGTTTTGAAATCAAGAAAAAAATCAGAGTAGGCCACTGTTCATAAATAAATATAAATATGTAAACAATTAAGTAGCATTTTTTTTAGTTATAAATAACTGCTGTATTTCTATATGAATCTTAATTTTATTTAAAATGTATGTTTATTAAAATTTAATAAAAATGAAAGTTATAAAAAATTTCAATTTTCAATTATTGAACTAAACGGAAGAATCAAGAAGCAGATATTTTTAATATCAAATCTTTAATCAATAAATAAAAATGTCATTTCATAAAAGATTTCGTATTGCAAATTTATTTTTTGTTAGTTTTGTTCGGCGAGCTGATAATAATTGCTGTCAATTTTCACTGGATCGCGTTTGGTATGGCAAAAGCCAATAAAATAAGCACCGAGAGAGCAAACTTTTACATTTCGGTACTACCTAACTCTTAATGACTTTTAACCCAACCTCGCTATTTCTAACCTTTGCAGCTGAACAAAAACACTAAAGCTTTGACATAATGAACTATTTTACACATTACAACGTCCCTAAATCATGTAGCTCAGGACTCCCTGCTCTTGGGGTCAGTTTTAATGCCACGCTATAGCCATATAACCGGGGGGAGAGGGATGAGAGCGTAGCTACTCCATAGAATGCACGAAAGGCTGAACGTTGCCCCCTTTTTTGGCAGTGCAGCGATGTCAGCGTTACTTAAACAGATATACTTGCAACTTTGCTATCAAAGTGAAACTTCTATATGACACAAGGAAAATTTTTCTCTGAAATAATTCCTGCATCTCAAAGAGAAAAATTTTAATTCTCTAACAACACAAGACGGCGCATGGAAAATAACTTGATGCAATGGCTTTTTCTTTTTTTATTGAGGCACACATTGTTTAAGCATTTTATAATGTGTTTATTATTAAAAATGAAGAAAAATTTAAAATTTTCCAAAAATCCACCAGCTTTTACACATAACCTAACTAATTGACTGAATAATAACTTCGAGTTATACCTTAAGAGCAGGGTTGCAATGGCTTCTTGAGTTTTTTTCCTACAGGGTTAAAAGAGTTGCTTTTTTGACAATTCAAATTGGTTTGTTTTTGCTTTAAGCGCGCGGTATTTCCCATATGCTGATTTTAGCTACAACTATTATTAAATTAAGATAGTTTTTTTTAAATAGAAATCAACATGAGTAAAAAAACTACGCGTTCCTCAAAGCCTGCCGAAACAAAACCTATACCTGCTGCGAAAGCGCCGGCGCTTCGTAAAGTAATGTTTATATCAGATGAATTGTTGCAGGACGAGGAAAATGAATTGACGCTGGAGTACTTTTATCATCCGGGAAAAGGCAAGCCAGTACTCTTCATAACAAAAGGCAACACAGAGCTTATGGAGGTAATAGAGTTTGCGGAACAACGTCGTTGCTGGTTAATCAACAATGATGTCTGTTCCGATGGACGCATTTTCATGACAACGCCAATTGATATAACGCTGCTGGCATTACATCATTTACGTTTACATTGCACAGAAAAAGCGTTAGCTTTGGAGGATATTGGTAAAGCAGATGATAAGAGTACATTAAGATTGTTGCGTGAATTTGTGCGTGGCGAGGAGCATCTGAGATGTGTGGCCGATATAAAGAATGCTAGTGGTATGGTATTCTACAAATACAACCCAAAGAAGACAATGGCTTGGTTAGCGATAAAGACGCGTCGAGTAGCGCAAAAGTTACAAAGCATCGGTTCCCATTGTGGCCAAAGTGCTGTATCACAAAATTATGTACGCGGCGAACTCGAAGGTGAAAGCAAGGAAGAAACAGAAATGGATTATTTACGCATGGCATGCGATATTGTAGGTAATTATTTGGATCTAGATTTGTATGAAGACCTCAAAAAATATTTGAATATTGCGGATGAAACGCCGATTATGACATCAACAACAAAGAAAGAAGAAAAAGCGAAAGGTGAAAATAAAAGAAAATCTCTACAACAACTTAACTCGAATAATAGTAAAAAAGTGAAATTGGATGAGAAAACCAAAAATGCAGCTGAAAAACTGAAAAGCAGTGGTTTGGTGGAAGACTCACCGACCAGCGATACGAACAAACCGAACAGCAGTGAGGAAACAAGTCCAGTTAGTACTATGTCGCCGAATGTGTTAACACCATCGCCAATCAAGGAACGAAACTTGACAGCTAAGGAAAAGGCGTTGGCAAAGAGTGCCAAAGGTACTAAAAGTATTGCATCGTTTTTTACAAAGAAATAATATATCGAAAAGTTGGTTGCTTTCATTGTCTATTAAGTCTAATATATTTTAATATTTATAATTTGTTTTTGTTTTTAATTAAATATGTAAATACAGTAAAGTTTTTGCATATTTTCTTTGTACACTATTTTATGCAAATTAAGAATAAACATTTTATTTCAAATCAAAAATATCTATCCAATGTCTAAGAATAAGTTGATTTTTAGTAATTTTTTTTATCAAAAATCTTAAAAATTAAATACAAAGTATGGAAAATAAATGCCTTCATAACTCATCGAACGCCATTTATCCATTGTTTCGAGGCCTTCAAAACAGTAACCATCAGTTAGTTAGTAAACCAGTACAAAAGGAGTTTTTTTTGTTGTTGTAACCGCAAAACTATTTCCCAAAGTACTTTTTAGGGAATATTGCGGGAGTGTCAGTTCTTGGCCGGATAAAAATCCGGGTCGTTCCGGTATAAAGACCCGACTGTCGCGGGAACTATTGGATTTTAGTCGCCTCTTACGACAGGCATGCCTTACCCGCAGGGGGTAGCGCTGTAATCAGTTAAAATGACCTTGACTCTTGAAGTCCACAAGTCCATAAGTCCATAAAGTCCTAACATTTAGAATTCGCAACTTCGAAAGTTTCATAAGGTTGATATTTTTTGTTTATTACTCTCATTGGCGGAAATAACCGTTATATATGTATGTACATTCATGTATAACTTGTAGTTAATGATATATATATGATGATATATACATACATACATATAGTATTAACATTCATATATACTAACATACAAAGCCACATCTCTAGTTGTCGGTAAAAGCGCTCCCATAGGCATTCATCCTTTTGGGATTATTGAAAAATTTGCATACTGTCTAACTCAACGACTATAAAAGCGCTTACGCTAAGCATTTTTACAGTTATTTCATAACGGTAAATAGTGCGTGCATAGCTAAAACGAAAAGTGTGCATTAAAATAAAAAATTCTAAGCAAAATGGAAGTAAGCAATAGAGGCTCTCTGTCGGAGTTACCACCAGTGGATTCAAATATGCTTACACCATCCAAGAAAGCCAGCTCTTTGAGCACTATTTCCGGTCTCAGTGAAGTGCCGAGTGATATCATCATAAAATCGCGCATTAAATATGGTTCACGTTGGTCGGCCTGTAAAGGCTTGATTATGGAATACTCAAAAAATACGACAATTCATGGTTTGCGCTATTTGGTGGAATTACATCGACCATTTTATGAAAAGTAAGAGGAAATTGTTGAAGTTACATATAAATTTAGCCTCATCTTAGTTTCTGTCTATAACTACATATGTATACATACATATATGTATGGATATGTGTATGTGAATGCGTTTTTAATACATTTCCAGATTGTATTGGTTCGTCGTGCTCATCATATCGGTATATTTTGCCATTTCGCTCATTTGGGCCACATACCTTAAGTGGCAAGATACGCCAGTAATTTTGGGTTTCGATGAAACGTTAGTGCCAGTGCATAAGATACCATTCCCCACCATAACTATATGTCCTGAAATTAAAATGGAACGAAATGTCTTCGATTTTCCCAACATCTCGAGTCGCATACTGGAAGAGATACAAAAATATGGCAGATTTAAAAATAATGAAAATTTAAATGATGAAGAGTAAGGTTTCCATTGTTATACGGAAATGTGCTTGGATCTTACGAAAAGACGTTTTCATTATTTATCCTTTAGATTGGCACGTTTTATGTCCACTTTACACATTTGCGAATCCGAAGTTGTGCAACGTTTTGCACCATTCCTACCCAAAGACATACGACCGGATATAGCACAAACTCTGGTTGATATATCGATATCGAAGAACGAGACTGGTCCCTTTTGCAAGTGGAATGGTCGTTTCTACTTTTGTGACAAAATTTTTAATTTCGTACCCACCGATGAGGGTATTTGCTATCAATTCAATGGTCTACAGGCTAAGGATATATATCGGGATTTGAGGTGACTTTCAAAATGTGACAGTTCAAGAGGCTCTTTTAAATATTAACTAATATTTATTTTTCACTCACCATGAAGCTTTATAAACTACTACGACGAGGATGTGGTCGATTTCAATAATTTCTTTGAGCAACTGCCACGCTTTAATAACTTAACCGGTAATTGGTCGCTGGATGATGGTTATGTCGGTCAAGGTTATAACTCGTATCCACAGCGCACGGCATTCTCCTCGGCACGCAATGGATTTTTCGCCTTTCTACAGGGCTACGAGCATAACTTTGAGTATGCCTGTCGCAGTTTTAAGCAAGGATATAAGGTGAGTTGAAGATACATACTGGTGAACAGAGTTTATTTCATAATAGAAACCCTCAAAAAACCGCTAGTTATACTTTTACCTCAACATCTTGGATTGATCTAAACGAGGTTGGATCGCCGAAGGGTTAAACACCCCTTGGCCGGATAAAATCCGGGTCAAATCCGGTGCGTAGAGCCGGCTGTCGTGAGATTTTACCATCTTGGGTAGAGTAGCTCGGTTTGCATATTAAATAATTGAGGTTATAAAAATGTGTGATGGTCTTTGTACGTTTTTTTTTCTACAAAACGAATGACCTACAGCCTCAAGTCCGCTGCTAGCTCCAAACCGCAGCTGGATTGTAATGATAAGGTCTTCATTGCATGTCAGAATTAATCTCGGAGTTAGTTAAGCTCCGTCGTACGTTGGTACGACTGTACTAAAATTGATCTCTAGATTTTCGGCTGCTACCCACGCGTCGCTGTTTAATGATGTAAGATATTCTTAGTAGCTAACAGGTTTAGAAGAACTTCTGAGATAAGTAATCTCTGGAGTGCGGCCGTTCATATGAATCTGCTCAGAGATAATAGAAAAATTATTTGTTAGAATATCTAATAGGCAAAGAAGAATTAAACAGAGTCTCTATTTCTATTTAGACGGCATGCCGTTCTCCGCTGACTCGTACGCTTGAGGAAAACTCAGATCAGTTGTCAGGGGCAGCTGTCGTAAGTCTGGAACAACGCTCAAATCTCTCTTGTGCCATGAGCCATAGTCGGCGTTCTACCCTTAGAAAAGAAGCTTTACCTGGCTAGCTTTGGATTATCACCGCTTCCTAGTATATGCTCTGCTCTGTACCTACCCTTTTGCTTCAACTAAGAAGTGCTTTCTAAAGACTTCTTTGCTCTTAAAATTCCAAGAAAAAAGGCTGGGAGTTCAGCTTCGGATATGGGAGACTCTAGTCCTTAAAGCTTGTAGCTGCTCCCACCTCCATTACTATTACCGGAAGCTAACAGTTTCCGATAGAAATCAAAGTCTACAAGTCGCTCATTACCCTTTGGTGTCATCGAACGGCTAAGAGAAGAAACGATTAGAGCGCTGTTGTTAACTCAGCTATAATCGCTAAGGCGGTGTCTACGCCAAGAAAGAAGTAGAAGAAAAGTGCTCGGCGGCCTCAACAATAGACTGTTTAGCAAGGATAACGACCATATCTACCGAGCCTTGACTAAACCAACCGCTCTGAGTCTACTTCTGACATCATACGTATTAAATTCATTTATTTAATTTAATCCTTTTTTTTGTCACACAATCCACACACACACGCACACACAAAGGTTTTCCTCACATCCCCAGAGAGTGTGCCGGTAACGACGAGTAATTACATTCTGGTGCCGCACGGCGATGAGGTGATGGTCAGCGTTCTGCCGCATTACGTAATATCCACAGACAATCTACACGACTTCAGCCCGGAGAAGTGAGATCACACATGAAATATGAATTTCGGATTGTACTAATGCGTACAAATTTGCATAATTTCCCTTTCAGACGGCAGTGCTACTTCAATGATGAACGTTATTTGCGCTACTTCCGCTCCTATTCCCAATCCAACTGTCAGGTGGAGTGTTTGACTAATTACACCATAAATAAATGTGGTTGCGCTAAATTTTGGATGCCAAGTAGGTGCACGTGACCATTAGTCGGCAGTGCGGGTTTAAGTGCACACCTGTTTTTTCTTCTTCCTTTTGTTTCAGAACCACCAGAGGTGCCCGTCTGTGGTGTGGAGGACATCAATTGCTATGATGCTGCTCAATCGGATTTGCGTATATTAATCCAAAATCAAACAATGCAGGCCACCATGGATCCCAACATGAAAATCATCTGTGATTGCATGCCGGCTTGTACTTCACTCGATTACAATGTGGAGATTTCGAGTGCACGCTATGAATTGGCCAAAACTTTGCAGGCCTATCGCGAAGTCTACGAGCATACTGAGTGCGTTCCACTTACCGTAATAATAATTTGGAATGGGAAATTGTTAACTCACATTCGTTTCCTTGCAGTTTCATGGGCTCACGCTTATCGGTTTACTTCAAGGAACATCAATTTACGGCCATCAAGCGCACTGTGCTCTTTAGTATTGCCACGCTCATTGCCAATTGGGGCGGTATTTTGGGTTTATTCATGGGCATTTCCAGTTTGAGTATCATAGAGTTGGTTTACTTTTTCTCTGTGCGTTTGTTTGACAATTTACGTAAGCGTCGTCAGACCAAGAAACGTCTTATGAAACTGGAAGCGGGACATGAGAATTAGATTGTCTAAGAGTAAGTTCAAAGAGTTCACTTAAGGATTATTTGCCAGTTTCTAAACTTTGTTTGGTGTGATTAAATAAAAAAAGTGAAATCCATTTTGCTGTCTTTCTCCTCGTACTTTTCATTTACTCTATTAACGGCGGGAATGTAAGGGGGTAGGAAATGAAAGTTTCAAGTGCGGTTCATTTCGTTCAGAACAGGTTGTTTCAATGCAGTTTGGGTAACCAGGGGAATTGTTAGAGGGAGTAATATGGTGTAGTTCGCCATTCTTTTTGGTATGGCCATCACGCCATAGAAACGAGAGCAACCCTTGTGCTATATGCGGTACCCAACCCGCGTGTAGCCTTGGGTCATGCCTAGATTAATAAGGAGGATATGCAGCGCCGTCCAGTGGTCTATTGTGCCCTCAGCTCACGGCTTAGAGAAAAAGCTTCAGTGGAGCCACATATTCGGCCCCAAAAGAATGCGACAATTAAATGGGAAAAACTCCCTTATGTCACATATAAGAACTAAGATAATGAAAAGAGGATCGACACACACCACAAATCTGCATTTCACGGCTCAAAAAGGACTTGTCGCTTTTCCTGAAACCCAGCAACATCAAAAGCTCCGTCAGTATAGAGAAAACATCTTCGAGCCGCTCGATCTCAAAACACACCAAACTGACAGTATAATCTTTGGTTTGGTGGGCATCAGCTTTTAAAGTGACTTGTGGCGCTTCGTCATGTGTGGACCATGATAATTTTCGATTAATGTTATTGTAAACAATCCATTTTTCATCTCCAGTTATGATTTGTTTCAAAAATGAATCTTAAATTCAGTGCATTTAAGATACATATCGCGAGCGTTGAAGTGGCTTGATAAAGGAATTTTCTTCAACTCATGCGGTAGCCAAATATCATGTTTTTTTTACCAGTCCAAGACGTCCCATTTGATTATGAACGGTTGATTTTGGTAGACTTAACTTCTCTTTAATCACGCGCTCAGTTACATGGCGATCCGATTTGATGAAAGCCTTGATGACGACGATCATCAACTTCACTTGGATGAACTGAACGTGGCTTATCTTTGAGTGAAAAATCTCCCGAATGGAACTTGACAAGCCAAACTTCGACTTTGTCTTTTTTTTAAGGACTTAACACCATACAAATTATGCAACTTTTTAGCAATTTGCGCTGCATTTTTCCTTTAAGGAATCATATAGTCAAATATGACGAAAATGTTCTTTTGTGGACTTTTTTTTTAAAGCAAGCTTAAATTGACAGCTTACAACTGTCAAACGGAAAAATAAAATTAAATAGTCACAAGCTGTTTTAAAAAAATTGTCAACGTCGTCTGTATGAAAAATCGCCGGTTTCTTGTGGGGCAACAAAAAATAAATTAACGCCCGCTGCAAGGCGGAAATTGTAGCATCTTTGCCCCTTAGTAGTCATTCGACAACACTGCAAAAAAAAAAAAAAATATAAAAAAAAATCCTAAGCTCTTTCCAACCTCTGAAAAGTTAGTTGCTAACAAAAAATTTCGAAATTCATTTTTTCAACTCTGCGTATAAATTATTAAAATGTATTATTATTAAGGTGGCACGCTGGTCTAGAGCGCAAAAAATGGGCCTATTTTATGACTTTATTTTGACTCAACAAAGGAATCAATCCAAAATCTGTGAAATAGGTTTAATAGTATAAGTTTCATGGTACAAATACAAAATTTTTCGTGTGAATTGATTTCAAAATGGCCGCAGTCCAGCATTTCTCCGAAGATGCCTTTTTTTTCTTCTAGGTCCATGGTCGAAGACGTAAACTCCGTAATTTTTGTTCTGCATCAAAAAAATATTATTTTTTTCTATATAACAACAGCAAAAAACGTACGTAGAATTTTTTCGATTTTTTTTTGTTTGCGAAAAAGTGCATGTTTCAACAAAAAATTATAATTTTCACTATAAAAAACATGAAATTGTGGACTAAAAAAAATCTATGTACGTAGGGTCGTCGGAGAACGGTATTTCGAATATACTGTCAAAATTTCGTAAGAATCGGTGAAGATTTGTTCGAGTTATGTCTTCGGCCAGTTTAAAAAAAAAGTGATTTCGAGAAAAACGCGTTTAAAGTTGTAGGTCGCTCGGGGCATACCTGTGAGGCACTGCCTTCGAATGAAAAATTTGAGCATTTAGACATTTTTCCCGGCATCCATTTTTCGGTATGTTATTTCTAAGACCCTAAAGCACCCTTTTTTAAAATTCAAGACCAGCTTCCCCCCTTAAATATTGTATAATACTACCCATATAGTACTTGTATATACATATGTATATATGTATGTAAATATGTATGTAACAACTCTGTTATCATTGCATCTTACCTGCTTTCATATAATTTTAAATTATTCCAGTAGAAAAAACAACAAATTTGGAATGTCTTTTTTTCGTATAATTATTTACAAGGATGGCTTTAGCTCGTTACTCTTCATCTAAGCTTCAAATCAAACTCATTTTATATATTTTCATACTGACTGCTTTGCTTAAATACTCGTAATGTACATTTACATAAGAGTTAGTTTGGTTCACTTTGTTGCTGTTGTGTTGTGTTGTTGTAGTTGTTATTATTATTTTTGTTGTTGTTCTTATTGTTGTTGTTGTAAATAAGTAATGCAGTGTTGCAAATTATGTATGTACCTATGTAAGTGTATGCGTGTGTATATGTGTGTCTGTGTGTGTTTATGTAATTATTTTATTGATGTGTACACTCTTTTAAATATGCAATAAAATTTGAATTATTCATGTTTTTTTTTTAATTATAACAATAATATATAATATATATATATTTATATTTATATGTGTGTGTATGTATAATTACTTTAGTTTTTAAGTTTAGAGTTTACAAATATTATTGTACATTCTCTTTTTCAACAATGTCGTATCGGGGGCGGGCTGACACAAAGAGATGACCGACTGACTGATGGTTTTGTGTTTGCTTTTTGATGTGTTTATTTTTTGTTTTGTTGTTTTTTTTTTTAAGGAAAAGGGAAGTAATTTGCGGCTGTTGGTAGGAAGTAGTGACGACATGCAAGTTGGTCGATTTTTTTTTATTTTTTATTTTTCGCGAATGAATTTATCATTTCAACACAACAAGCGCTAATCACTTCCCTCAGGCCTTGATTTTTATTTAAATTTCATCGTCTTATCTAACACAAGCAATACAGAGCCACTTTGTAAAATATGATTTTCTTTTTTTTTTAAAAAACACGCAGTATTTATGTATTTACATATATATGTATATATGTATATATGCTAACTTCTTTTAATAACAATAAACATACAATTAGTAAATATACACTTTACATAGTTCAATGCTTGCTTTTTGCTTTTGCGCTAGTTCGTTAGCATTGAATTTAAATTCAAATACACCGTTGATTTATATAATAACGTTTATAAGTGATGATGTTTGTTTTTTTTTTATGCCAGATTTTTTTCTTCATTTTTGTCATTGTTTCCCTAACATTTTACTTCAACTGTCTTTACGTTTGTTGCTGCATTTGTTTGTATGTATTTAAAAAAAAAAAGAAAAAAAAACAAAGCACGTTTCTGTAATTAATAAATCAACTGAAGCACAACTTTTTTTTTTGTTTTTTTTTTTATATACAAAATTACAACAATTGTAAAATCGTAAAATTGCTTTAATGCTTTGGATTCAACGACCTAACCAACTAACGGTTATTTTTTTTAATTTGCGCTTTAAAAACTTTAAGTTTAAAATGTGAACAGAAAAAGAAGAAGAAGAATAACAAATGTAGCTGCGCTAATTTTTGTGGACTTTATTAAAATTAATTGTCAGAAAAAAATTTCACCCACCGATTTTGGCAAAAAATGTTGTAAAAAGAGTTTGATTTTATTTTATTTTATTTTTTGTTTTGTTTTGTTTTAACTATCAACACAATGACAGCGTTTAAGAAAATAGAAAATACTGTCGAATTGGCATAATAAACCACACAAAATGTATAGGATAACGAAACAATGAAACCTACAAATCTAGAATTAAATACATTTTAAACATTTCAACCGATGAATTTCTGCATAAAACCCTCTTGATGGCGAAATTACTTTACTCTTAACAGCGGCAATGCTTTCAAACAATTTTAACAAATTTAGAAAACGTATAATACAATAATAAAACATACAATGCAGTAAAGGAAATTGATTGAAATGAAAAAAAAAAAAAACAATTTAACAACATAGAGAAAAAGCTAAACAAAATTTAAGAAATACCAATTTTTTTTTTGATGTGTGATTAAAGCAATATTAAAAAAAAATTAAACAAGCACACATGCCGTGTAGGTACATAGGAAAAGCATTGCTTTTAATACGCAACTCGGCTATGGGGGAAAATTAAATAATGCTTTTTCTACTAGCATAGTGCTGCCGTTATTTAATGCCGCGTAAATTTCACCACCGAACGAACAAAGAACAGGTGGAACCGACAACATACATGCACATTTTGGGTTTAGTATTTTACTTTATGCTATTTTAAGGATTTTATATAAACTTTTTTGTTTTGTTTTTCAAGCTTTGGAGCTTTGCTTTCTTCTTTCTGTTTGTAGTTTAATTATAGTTTGTTGCGCGCGCTCTTCCTTTCCCTTTCTCTCTCTCTCTCTTTCTTTCTCTATCTATTTCTCTCTTCTGCTGCTCATCATCATTGTTTTGTGGTAAACGTTTTTTTGTTGTTGTAAAGGTATTTCTCTTTTTTTTTTTTGTTTAAACTAAATTTGATTAATTGAGCGTTTAACTCAAAACGAACTTTAGATTTTTGCTGTTTCCACCATATCGATGTTCAGTTTGTAAAACACATAAGGATAGTATTCTGATTGGCCAAAGCCCAAGCCGGGGATGTCAACGTTCTGTAAATTTGTATAAAAATTTAATTAAATTGGTTTGATTGGATAAGAGTTCAAATAGTATATAAGTATATATGTATATATATAGGGTTTTCCAAGAAGAGATGTTATTTTGATATTCAAAGAAACTTTTCCCTTAAAAAATCCGAAGGTTTCGTTGCTTGTATGGCATGAAGCGTCATACTAATGAAAGTAAATTGTATAAAAAATCCTTAGTCATCTTTCGAAAAAGTAAATAAAAGGTCCATTTACCCCGCCGAACCATAAATGAAAAGCACCAAAAATTACACATTGAGAATGCAGAGGCTTTTCAACAATAAATCTTAGATTTTCCACGCCACACTTGCGACAGTTTTGTTTATTAAAGTAGCCAACGCGGTGGAAATGGGCTTCCTCAGTCAAGATGATTTTTCGGTGAAATTTTTCTAGTGAATTTTAATTTTTTCAAAGCCTTGTTGAAGCGTGCATTGCTCCATTTTTATATTATATGACATCTACCCTGATAGCAGCCGTTCAAAATAACACCTCATATTGGGTAAACCCTTTATATAGAAAATTCACTTACATCAATGCTGGCATTGCTCTGACCGCCAGCTGAAGCACCATCCAAGTGACCATATAGCTGATTAAGGCATTCACGTAAGCGTTTAACGCTCTTCTTGTTGGGCTCAATAAGGATGGCTTGGAAATTGACAGGTAAACCGTATCTATTTGTGGGTGAAAATTGATGATTAGAAGTTTTTTTTTTTAATATTTTTATTGTTAATTTTCTTTTTTTTTGCATTTTTAAAGTCATACAACTTCTTTACTCACCTCAAAACGGATTCAACAAAAACGCGCAGCGCTTTCACATGCACCAAAGCACAGAAAGCCTCGCTGAAGTTGACCTTCAACCATCTGACCAAGGGGCCCTAGAATGAAAAAGCGCACAAAATTAAGTTTTTTTGCAATTTTTTTGGTAAATTTTTTGAAAAAAAAAAAATGGCAAAAGCACTAAATGTTTGTGTTTTGAGTATTGGAAAAAAGCTCCCTTTTTCGAAATTAAGCTTAATGCTTTAGGACAGTCAGAATTTTTGACTTTTTAAAGCATTATCTTAAAAATATCATAAAAATATTAAAAAAAAAAATTAATGGAAATCGTCGAGTCGGACCGTCATGCGACGATTGGCCAATAGCCGGACATTGCACAATGGATACACAAAGAATCTCGATCTATAAGTGTCACAAGGGTTAACCAGATAAAACCTCATGGATCGAATTTCCATCTGCGAAACGCTGCTGAATCGTAGCAGAATCGACTCATTTCAGAAACGGATGATGGCAGGTGATTCAAAGTGGATCTCTCACAGCAACACCAAAAGAAACAGGGCCGGGTCGAAGGGCACAAACGGTTTCCAACCAACTATTGATGGCCAGGAAGGAAGGCGTTGCTTTGACTATGACCTGCTACCCTATAGCAGTAGGACCGTCTGAAGGCAGCAAACGCTCTGTAACGTCCAGATGTGACCAACAGAAGGGGAATTATGTTTCATTAGAACAACGCTGGACTACACACATCGATATTGACTCGACAGAAGCTTCAAGTGCTTAATTGGGAGGTTCTTATCAATTTATCTTGAAATCTGGATCTTGTACCAAGAGATCAACATCTGCTTCTGTTTATGGCGAATGATTTCGCTGTGATAAAGAGTGAATCTCAAGAGAAGCTAGTGATAATTGATTGTCGAAATTTTTTGCCAAGATAGACGAGGAGCTAAAAGAGAGGCACTATGATATCACATACAAATTGGCAAAGACTTATCAAGCAAAACGATATATATTTGACATAAATGGAATGGTTCTAACTATGGTGAAGCAAGATTTCAATTTAAATAGACAGAAGACGGACGGGCATGGGTAAATCAGATAAAGTCATCGTTGTGATTCGACCTCTATAAGTTAAGGCGGATCTCTCTAACCCTTCTCCTATTGGTATTGGCATACTTTGGACCAAAGTTAATATGCATACCATCACAGGTGCACGAAAATCGTCAAAAGCTTAGATGAGGTAATAGATTAACTACTACTAATTTTTGATAGATTGATTTTAGTTGAAACTCCAAGAATTTCTGAAGCTTGGTTTTACTTTTGCAGCCGGGTTAAAACAAACTGCCATAATTCATTGACTGAAATTAGGTGAAGTGAGGTCACTTATATAAAATGAAATGATTTTCTAGCAAAAAAAAAAAAGATGAAAACATTTTCTATATAGAAAATTCTCACTTTTACATTTAGTTCTTTTTCTATAGCCTAGAGTAGAGAATCTCCATTGCATCCTTATGTCTACTGCGTCTATTCATTTCAAATACTTACAAATTGCTTCTTCTTATCGGTTATGAGCTTGGTCATCTCATTCTTGCCAGCGGCTAATTCCTCCTCATTATAAACGAAATCACGTACAATGAATTTACGTTCACGCGCATGCAACTTGAATTCCTCAACAACCTTCTTGAAGAGTGTCACATTGAACAAACAATAATCATTGTCTTGTGTAATCATTTGCGAGGAACGTGGCACGATCATGTCAGTGATCTTTTCATAGTTGGCCAACCAATCGTTAGCAAGAATTCTATATAGGAAAACAAAGAAAGAAAGAGAGGGAATTATTTAAGTTAATAAAAAAAAGTTAATTCAATTAAATTAATTAATAATAAATACTCACTTTGGCACAATCACCAACAATGTGGTCAAATATTCTGAGTCCAGAATGAAATGTTCTTTCTTGACCAAATCGGCCAAATTACGGGTCAGCAAACTGCCGCTGGAAGGGATAATAAAAGAAAAGTTTTAATTAAAAGAAAATATATTTAATGAATGATATTTCGTCAAATACTAATTTTTCTTTAATTTTATTTGATTTAATAAAGGGTGTTTCTTAGACATGTGTTTACAAGAAGAAATGAACGCAAAATAATCTGCTCCCAAGAAGTTTTCTTCAATAAAGTTATTGTTATTGTTGGAACTAAAAGTCCTATATATCAACAACCTCGAATTCAGGCACGGAAAATCATGGCTCTGTAGCCTTACTAGTAAGTAAGTCAATGTTTGCCTCTGCCCGTAGAGTACTTGATGGTCGTTCAATTTCACAAGCAAAGATCCTTCTGCAAAATCTTCGATAAAGTGGTTGGGCACAGCACGAACTTTCGGGTCTCATTTGATATTTTGCTCCACAGCTGCAATAAAGTCTTCGGTCCGCACTGTATAGCACCTCACGAGGATGCTCATTATTCATTAGAGCAAACGTGGTGTGAGAATATCCCTTGGCTGCTCGAATTACTGGAGTAAGTCTGTTCATTTCCAAACAGACAAACCAAACTGGGTATAAATCAAATAACAGCTGTCAAAAAGACCAACTCCGAAAAAGGTATTGCCTCATTGAAAACAACATGTCGATAAAAACACCCCGACCGACGAGATGGGACAACTCAATTTGCTAAAGCGTGCACTCCATATCAGCAGCCTCTAGGCTACATAAGGTACTAGCGAAAGACACTCTAGAAAGTCAAATGACTCTAAGGCAGAAATGTTTCACAAAATGAAAAGAAGAAAGAACAATGCCAAAAACAAAAATTGAACACACTACACAAATGATCCCCCCAAAAGCAGACTGGCCATTGGCAAGAAACATAATAAACTATCAATCAGTAAAATGAAAATGTAAAGCTTTTCCTCCAGCCATGGCCGGTGCTACTCGAAATGGAGTTCCAATATAAGTAGATATTATGAGAGAGAGAAACTCTGGTTTTTGCCTCTATTCTATTAATGCGACGAAGAGCCCTCATAAAGTTTACTCCAAAGTCAGACAGATTCTTTCGACCGTTAAGTTTAACCTCAATCAACTTAAAGACTTTGGAAAAGATAATAGAAAATCAGAAAAGAACTACCTTTCATTGAGAACACACCCTCTACATCATAACCAACATCCATATCAACAAATAGTACTTCGTTCCAGCTCTCAGAACCAATAGAACATGCAGTAGTAAACAAGGCTGTTGCACTAGCTTTTGATAACCTCTCCCATGAGTTTGTCGACATAGAAAGAAGAAGGAAAGTAGTTCTTATTTAATTGGAAGAAAAGTGCAGCTGAAGCTCATTGATTTCTTGGGGAAGCTTGTGGTGAGACTTCGCAGACCGATAAGTCATATAGAGGGTGGTTTCCACGCGACAAATGTGGTGATTTTTGCGTCGAAGACAAAGAGAGAGAAAAAATTTGAAGTTGAAGAATTGCAGACTTTACTGGATCAAGATCCGTGCCAACCAGGCGAAACCTTTGATGCGAAACGTTATCGTCTACAATTAATACCTTTGAACCGTGAATTGGGTGAAAAATGGCCAGCAAGAACCAAAAGGCATAACAAGATTATTTTGCAATATGACAATGCTCGGCTTTAAGAGACTGTAACAGTCAAAAACTATTTGGAAATGCTGAAATGGAAGGTCTTATCCCAACCTCAGTATTCTAAGACCTTGTAAGTGGTATTTTCGATGGGTGCAAAATAATTTAAGGCCTCATCGGTTCGAGTCTTCTGAAGATGATTGGATTCAAGTCAGAGGGGACTCATTTCTTAGAGATGATATTCGAAAATTACCAAATAGAATGATGTATTTTTTTACCTTTTCCCCCCTAAAAAGTATTTTTTTGAACACAAAAAAATGGAACGAATTAATTTGTACCCCCAATAAAAAATAAATAAAAAATTTTTTCCTACCCTATATTAAATTATTTTAGTACCAAATTATATGCAAATATGTATGTATTTATGTATTTTATAAATTTCCTTCACTTACGTTTGCTTCTTCTCCAAATTCTGCAAATTACCCTTAAGACTGTTATAGGCCGTCGACTTGGTCTTCAGATCGGCGTCAATTTGGCCAATTTGTTTTGAAATAATATCGGCAATATTGCGCAACGATTGCTTAATCGGATACTTGGCCATGTCCCATTGAAAGCGGGTAATATACACGGAAAGATCGGCTATTCATTGGTATGGCGAATGATTCACAGATGACCACGAATAAATGGGGGAAAAACGCGTTTTCGAGTTAAAGACGTTGTGGGAAAGAGAGAAAATATGATCAGTAAGGGATTAAAAATAAAAAATATATGTATAAATGTATTTTTTCATAAAACAAATTTTAATAATTAAATATTAGAAACTTGTATGTAAAAAAGTAATAAAAAATAAATAAATTAATTAATAAGAGTAAAAAAAAAATTCACGTCAAACGCAGGTCATTATATACAGATGTATGTATTGTATATCGAAAAATACACGATTTAACTCCGAAATTTATGTAATTAACACAATAAAAAAAACAACAACAAAATGAAAAAAATAGAATATTTTCATGTGTTAATTATTTACAACACTTTTTTTATATTTTTGATCACAAGTTCTTAATTTTTTTAATAGTATTTTATGTTTTTTTTAATCTTTTATTTCGTTTTATTATTTATTTATTTAAGTTTTACTATTTATTTATTATTTTTTTGCATTATTTATTTATTATTTGGTTATTTTTTCAATTTTATATTTTTACTTGGATTTCATTTTTTTATTTGGTTTAATTTTTTAAATTGTTATATAATATTTATTTAATTTGTTTTAAACTCTTTATTTTTTATTTAGTTTTATGTTTAATATTTATGTTATATTGTTTTGAATTTGTTTTATTCTTTCCATTTTTTTATATTATTATTCTTATTTAATTTTTTTTTTTTTCATTGTTTATTTTATATTATATTTAATTTTATTTTTAATAATTAATTAATTAAACAATATTTTGTTTTAGTACTTTCATTTTTGTTTTTATTTTATTTTAATTTCGTGTAATTTTTTATATACTATTTATTTAATTGGTTTATATTTTATTTAAATTTCTTTGTTTTATTTTGTGTATATTTTTTATTATATTTATTCAATTTAATTATTTTTTATTGCGTTTTAATTTTTGTTGATTAGTTTATTATTGTTATATTTTTTTAACTTTTCATGTTATATTCATATTGTTTTTTTTTAATTTTTTTCTTTGGTTTTATTTTTTTTTAATTTGGTTCTATTTTTAACATTTCGTTTTAATATTTTTAATTTTGTTTTATGCTTTAAATTTTTTAGTTCATTAATGTTTTGTTTTAAATCTTTGAATTTTTTTATTTTTTATTTTTTATTTTATATTCATTTAATTTATATTTATTTAATTTAATTCAGATTTATTTAATTTGATTTTTTGATTTGTTTATTATTATCATTTTTTTTGTTTTACTTTTTTTCATGGTTTATTCGAATCATTTTGCTTCAATTATTTATTTTTTAAACCTTTTTTAAATTTGGTTTTTTTCTTTCAATATTGTATATTATATTTTTTAGTGGTTTCTTCTTTAAATTCTTTATCTTATATCATTATTATTTAATTTTGTTCAATTCTTTATTTTATATTTATTGGTTATATTTTTTTACTTTTTATATTTTATTATTTTATTTTGTTTTAAAGTTTTTATTTTTTTTTCAATACTATTTTAATTTTCTAAAATTCGGTTTTAGCTCTTAAATTTTGTTTTAATTTTTGAAGATTTTTTTTTCAAATTCTAAATTTGTTTCAATTTTATAAAATTTGATTGATTAGATTTCTAGTTATTTAGGTTTCTAAAATTTGTTTCTATTTTGTAAGGCTGAGTTTTAATTTTCTAATTTTTTTTGTTTCCAAATATGTTTTAATTTTCAAAAATTATGTTTCCAATGTCTGAAATTTTTACAACAGTTTATAGTGTGCGACTTAATTGCACCTGCGTTTAACGTTAAGCGTAGATTCATGCCATTAGCAAGACAGTACAATTATTTTTACGCTCGAAAACTGAAAATTCCACTTTACGCTAAAAAAAGTAGAAAAAAATGTTTATAAATTTTTACATTACAAATTTTGCAGACAGCAAAAATCTACGCTTATATTGCGTTATAAGGAAAAAAGTACTAATTAAAACAAAAAAAAGTGTGAATAAAGTTCAGAAGCATTTTCACTAAAGTTAAGAAATTCTCATAACAACACATTGAAGTTATACATTGTAAATTTATATTAAAAGTGGTGATTTCTTTTTTTTTCATTTAAATAAATTAGTAGCCATTCAAAGTGTGAGTAGAAATTTTGAATTTCGACTACATATATACACGTATATATAATATATGTGTATTAACACAGCAATAGTAGTAATAGTGGTAGTACATATTTAATTTTTGTTAGTCACAGCAACAAACACACGACCATTTTTGGGAGACGACACAGAAGTTGAGTACAGTGGGATTTATTAAGGGGGAGGCGGGGGGTAGCCAAAAAGAAAAACAGATTTAATAATAGCATAAAAATTGGCTAAAACATTGAACACAAATTGGTTAAATAAGATTGGACAATTAATTAGCAAAAATTCAAGCAATGAGATAACTGAAATATACATATATGTATACATACTATGTAGCTATGCATGTACATATGTATGTATGATATAAAATATTAAACAAGCTTATATATAGTATAAAACAAGTAACAGGCGTACATATGTATGGTTAAATTCAGAAACTTTTTTCCATATACAGTTTGAGTGCTACTGGAAGTGAATATTTACTTAAAAGTAAAATTAATATTAAAAAAATAAATTATAACAATTTTAATTACATTTTCTTAATCTTTTGAATTTGTTTATATTATCAGAAAAAAATTAAATTAAAATCAAATATAATAAAATATCAACAAAATAAAAATAAAATAATTTTCTTCACATTTTTTTAGGTTTTGTAATTTTCACATACTAAAAGAAAAAAAATAAAATTAAAATTATATATAAATTAAATAAAAAATTAATTTTCATAAATTAAGTAAAAAAATTAAAACTAAAAACAAATAGAATAAAATATCACTTAAATAAAAAAATTTAAATTTTAGCGGCATTTCTTAATTTTTGTATTACTTAAACTAAAATCAAATCATAATATAACAAATATATCAAGAAATAAATGTTTTAAAGAAATTTATCAATTTTTTTAAGCTTTTATATAAAAAAAGATGAGAAATAATTAAAATCATACTGCGATAAATTAAAAAAAATCAAAAATGCCTACTTTTTGCATCAACTAAAATAGTAGTAAAATTATAAAATTAAGTTATGAAATACATATTTAATTAACAATTTTAAATTTATTAAATTCCATATACAACATTTTCAATTTTTTTCATATCAACTTTGAAACTTTTTCCCGACACTAACAAATATTTATTTCTTTACTTGAATAAAATAGTAGTATAGTAGTAGAAAACAGCAGTAACAATAATACGCACGACGCTTGAGCAAATAAAATAAAAGACATATTTGTTGTAATTTTTGTTTTTTTTTCTTTTCTTTTACAAATACACTTTTTTCAATATTTCAAAACAATTCAACGCTTTTGCTGCTAAGCGCTGATATGGTGTTAAGCGATGAACGTTGCTTGCACGATTCGTGGTTGTGGTGACGGTGGTGATGGTAATGATGGTGCATTTGTGGAGCACAACAACACATTGGACATATTTTTGGGTGGACGACAACACTTATATATATGTATATATATATGTATTTAATTATGTATGTAAATATGTAAGTATGCATGTAGCAAATGGCGTTGGTATATACATATGTATGCATGTACACACTGAAGGAAACTCAGCAATTTACACTGTGCGGCGTGAAAATAGAGCAAAGAAAATATTACACACACACATACACACACAAACGCATAAATCAAATTTTTGATAAAATACGCCAACAATAGCAGGAAATAATAAGAAATGTTGAAAAAACTTAAAAACAAAAACAAATAATAACAAAAAATAAATTTAATTAAAAATAAACAACAACAACTCATTGAGCGCAAATGAAAAAATCGACAGTAGTGGAAGAGAGGAAAATGTATAATAATCGGGATATATTCATGAACATGGATTACACATATTTAGTCCACATATACATACATGTATGTATGTAAATACATATATTCACTAATGTATGCATTGTTGTTTGCATGTATGTGTGGGAAAAGTTTACGGGCGTAAGGTTCTCAAAAGACGGTGTGTTGTTTCGAAGGTTTGTGGGTTTTGTTTTCCGTTTTTTTTAATTATAATTTTTTTTTAGGTTATGTTCTGCCTCTTGTGTACTCGTATGTGACAAATCTAATTTCCAATAAGTGTATGACAATTTTTAAGTTTTTTTTTTTTTACATTTTATAATTAATTGTTGCTGTACATTTTTAAGTGTTCCTATTGCTTGGATATGATAAAAAAAAAGTATAAAAATTCTGTGACTCATAAAGTTGTTCATTATTTAAAAAAAGGAGAAATTGTTTAAAATTTTTTTAATGCGAAAACACGGTTGCATTGTGGTTTTCATAAGAAATTTTAATGAATACGCTGTTCCCGAGCGTAAATTTATGATTTTAAAATAATATAAAAAAAAATTATTTTTTTCAACACTCAAAAAATACATGTCAGTTAATGAATTATTTAATTTTTTACTATTCAATTTCAATTTTCAAAAAATTAATAAAAAAAATCATTCGAAAATTCTATTTTAGCAAATGAAATATTAAGCGCACAATTATAAGTTTTGAAATTAAAAAAAAAAATTGAGAATTATTTCAAAAACTTTTTTGTGCAAAAAAAAACATGTTTAGTAACCCCGAAAAATTCAAAAATTAACCTTTGAAGGTTAATTACAATTAAAAACAACAATTTTCAAAAATCGATATATTTCAAAAATAGTTTTCCACATTATTTGTTTTCCTCAAATAACAAATCAAATCCAAAAAAAATCAAAGAACCTTTCTTTAAAATCAGCTGATTTGAATGTACAAGATTATCTAGTTTGTGGTTTCGAAAATAAAAGGAATTAAAATGGATTAAAAAATTTTTTTTTCCATAAAATACTTTCTTTTATTATAAACTTTGTGACCTTGCATTATTTGTGAAGTACTACAATCATTCAATTTGCGAATTTTTGCACACTTTAAGCCGATTGGTGTAACTTTTGACCATCTTTTTGGCACATATTCGACGGTATCTCAGTCATAATTGGATCCAAAGAGCGCACCAGACAGTTTGTTTAGGTATCATGGCCGCTCTTCAATTATACGAGGATTCCCGAGCTCCAAATACAACAATTTTGATTCTTTACTTATCTTCCAAGTGAGAAGTAAGCCTCGTCGCTAAATAAAAATTTATTCGAAAAATCGCCGTTCACTGCTTGATTTTCAAACACATAATCCAAGTTTATTCGGGTCTTCGGATAGACTTTCAATGACAGAATATTTGAGATGAAAAGAACAAAGCGATGAGGCACAGGCCTTACAGTGTCTGTAACCGAATCAGTATCTTCAAATTTCTTTAAATTTTTATCAAATACTTGAGAAGTTGGATGGACTCTAATATTAAAAAAAAAAGAAAAAAAAAATAAACAAAATCCCTTATCAACCACGTAAAGTTAAAATTACTTTTTTTCAAAAAGCTCAAATAATTTCCAGTAATGAGCAATAGACAAGTGTAGTTGTTGCTCAAAAACTGGTACTGTTTCAAAATGTTCGACCTAAATTTTGAGCTCTAATACACACAAATGATTCTGTAAAAATGGCCAAATTCCTAAAAAAAAAACCTCGAAAAGTCCATTAATTGCAAGTTTGGAAAGTAACATAAATTTCCCAAAGCGTACTTAAAAAAAAAACTTTGTTAAAAAACATTATATAAATTGCCACAATATTTTTTACAGTGTAATGAAAGTTGATATATAATATTTCACGCTTAAACTTTATGAGTCACCACATGTGTACATATGTATGTATGCATGTATTCTACTGGAAGTTGTTCAAATGTGTTGTATATTTTTGCAAAAATATCAATAATTTTTTAATTTTTTTTTCACAAATTTATTTGTTAAAATCACAAAATAATTTTGCATAAATTTATTTAAGTGATTTCGGGCAAAGTGTGCGAAAGTACGATAAATAGAAGAAAAAACGTAAGTGTGAGCAAAGAAAGGGTGTGAGAAAAATCGACACAAAAGTACTTGGAAAATCATAAAGTGGAACAACGAAATACACGTTACTTATTATGGTGAATACAATTGCTTTGCATAGAAGAGGTTTTGTATAAAAAATATAAAAAAAAATAGACGAAAACTAAAAGAACCAAAAAAAAAAAAGAAATTTTAATTATTTATATTTTTTTTGTTTATTTTTTTCTAAAGAAAAATAAAAGAAATTCATTAAAAAATTCAATTTCAATTGTAAACCAGGCATGCTAACCTGGACTTAATGGAAATGCCGGCGGTTCGCCCAAATCTGTATCCGGACTGGAACGACCATGACTACTACTGCCACAACAACTACTCACTGGGGACGATCTATGAGTTGGTGTGAAATTAAATCCATTGTTTATATTTAATTGAAACGTTGATGAGCGACTGCTATAAAAAAATGAGCATCGAGAGAGAGAGAGAGACACAGAGGGAGAGAGAGAGAGAGATAAAGAAAGAGGCGCGCGTGTTGACGTGATTGGATTGATTTAGGTTAGGTTTTGATTGGCAAATATTTTTGATTATTGATTTTTGAATTTTGATTTCGAATTTTTATATTTTCATTTTTTATTTTGTGAATTTGGTGCATGATGTTATATATGTATGTTTGTATGGATGAATGCATGATTATGCAGTTTGATTTGTTAATTAATTATATAGTGAATTTGTATATAATTGATGTTCATGCGTCTGAACTGTGCTTAAGTGAGGTCTTTGTGCAGCGAATGCTGAATATGTTGTTGTGATCGTGTGGAAGTATGTGTGTCTATAAAATTAGCGCCTCGCTTTTTTAAGTGTATTTTTTTTGCTGTGTATTCTCTTGTTTTCTGGTGTGCTGGTGCGGCAATTTTTATTATTAAAAATTTTCAAATACTTAAATTTTTAAATTTTCAATTTTTTCCCAATTATATATGAAAAATATTTACTGCATCGAATGTATAAGTAATGAAATTTTTGTTTTTTTTTTGTAATTTTTAACAAAATTATGAACGGCAAATATTTCATTAGTACACTTTTGTGCGACAATTTGAATCCAGATCTCTGTTAAATATGCACAAATCCTAAATTTAATAATTCATAATTTAATAAATTTTAGCAATATCTAATTAATTAAGTTTATGCAATTTTTTAAATAATAAAAATGATTTTAATTTTTATATAAAAAAATAACTATTTGATTTCTATGATTGTTACATTAAAAATTCATTAAATGAAAAAATCGCAAATGAAGTCTAGTTCATGCTTCAAAAATGTCAACCAAGGACTTCTCTACGTTCAACTCGTACTGGAGTAAATTTTGCTATGAAATTTCGCAATATTTGAATGCACTTCTACAACTATCAAGTTCATTTTAAATCTAAAATTCTTCTATCTACCAATGAAATGCAATAATAAAGAGTTACATGTATTTAAAATGTAATTACAAGTAAGTTACTTATACGCAGTGGTGTGTCCAATTTTATAAAATTAGTATCAAAATGTTTCATTTTTTTTTTAGATTCCTCCCAACCGGTTACTTATTGATATTGAACTAAATAGAGCACAAAAAACGTATCGATAACCAAGTAATTACCTTTTTTTAATAAACTATGTTGCACTTTTGCTCGGTATCTAGACCGCAAACCTTAAGTGATTTACTCCAAAATGCCCTACACATAGTGGGTGCAAGGTATATGTGCTGGCTATCAATCCATCTGATATGTTTTCTTTCATTTCCTTTTAAATCAGACAAATTCAAAGGCATGGAAATCGCTGTCTCCACCGAAGTTAAATATCTTAGGGTAAACTTCGATCATAAGCTCAACTATTGACGCTGAAGTTATTTTTGGCTGAGCGCATTCACCGTTTTGGGTGAGCGTCGTGATGTTTTTCCAAAAACTATTACAATTTCCATTGCCAAGGGGCGACCGCAATTAGAAAAACTACTTCTTTATAATTATGAACATTGGTCGAACGAGGATCTCGAGGATCTGGAAGCTTTGTTTCTTAGAGAACCTTTGGTCTTCAGAATGGCACCACGCAATGCCTTGGGGCTAGCGTGCTTCAGCAAACGCTTGGATTCTGTCTATACAATTTCTTCTCCACAAGAATTCCGGACAGGAATGCATGGGAAAATACAAATATGTACTCTAAAAACTCGATGAAATGATAGGCTGTGGAGTTCACTCATCAACGCTCTCAACCAATTTTATTTTGAGGCTTTCAAACTACTGCCGCGTCTTCCAAGCAGAATCACGGAAACCGCAAATTTATTGCTCGAATCTCTGGTTACAATCCAATCAATAATGTATTGCCAAAGAAACCACTACCCAAAATTATTAGTCGTCTCATCGCTCTTACCTTGGGGACATGCCCAGACAAACTTTCAGACCTTATAAAAAAAAGTGAAAACGGCTGCAACGGGCTCTTAAACTAACATATAGGAAAAGCACAGTGGTTAGCAGTGCGCACTGCCGTTCTGAAGACCAGGGTTGACGTCCGGACCCATCTAACCAACCTCTAAAATGAAAGAAAATTTCTTTTTCTAATAGTCGCCCCTCGAGAGGGACTGCAGTTACGAAAAACTGTAGGTCCTCCCTCTGTTTGTTGGAGAAACATCAAGACGCATACCACAAATTGAGAGAGGCGTTCGGCCGAAAACCACTTCGCTTTGTTCAGAATATCTAGAAGCTTGGCCACCTCTGTTAAGGTCAGTAACTTAGTATCATTAGAGCAAGAAAAACTTCTTTCAAAATCATTGGATTGTCTATTGCGATCAGGCTGTTAAAGAAAAGAGCTGCTGGAATTTTTGGCCTCTATGAAACAAAGCTTCGAACGTAGAATTTTCCCACTTGCCGAAAGATGGCAAAAGGTTGTCCAAGAAAGTGGCTTAATAAATTATTATTTTCGTACAATCAAATGTGTACTCGAATGAGAAAACCCTCCACATTCTTACAGACACCTACACTCGACTTCATTTGCGATTACGAAAATAGTTTACGCTTCTGATATTAAAAATATACAAATATTTATATATAGATTTTATTGTCTCATGAAGGATTCTTTTTTTAATACCAAATGGCTCTCGAGTTTCACCGGTCGATCTGTATCTCTTCTCTTTGCATGGCGCTCATCTTCACTATAGCTTATGTTTTTGTTTTTGTATAACTGTTGTGTATTTTCTGTACTATGATGGGCAAATTGGGTGGGTGGATGTTTTGGAGTGTTGGTATTTGGTGTTTTTGGTTTTTATAATTTTTTTTTGTTTTTTTTTTTTGATTGTTAAGGTATTTGGCGTGTTGGTGTTTGTGGTTTGGTGTTATTGGTTTTTGAGTAGTGTGGGATGTGGATGGGAACGTTTATGACTGATTTGTACATTTTGTTGTTGTTGTTGTTGTTGTTGTAGATACCTGCTCTTTTTCGAATTTCTTTTATGCCTATGAAACCACCAGTCGAAAGTATCACTCAAATCCGACGTACTATTGCTGCCCTTCAAATTCTCATGCTCGTGTCCCTCACCACCATCCGATAGTGGCGATTGGTGATGATGAAGCTGATGCTGCTGATGATGGTTGTGATGCTGGTGGTGCTGGTGGTGGTGCAGCTGTTGCTGATGATGATGATGTTGGTGGTGGTGATGATGCTGCTGCAGTAATTGATGCTGTTGTAGGTGTAACGGCTCGTGGTGCGTCTGTTGATGTTGTTGTTGTTGTAGCTGATGTTGCGACTGATGCAGTTGTAGTATATTTGCGCCACTACAACTGATCGTCAAGCCCAAACGATTGTTATTATTTACACTGCAAGTGTTGTTGTTATTATTGCTGGAAAAGCTGTTAATAAATTTACTAGTAGTAGCAGCAGCAGCAGCAGCCGCAGCGGCAGCAGCAGCAGAAAAACGACGCTCATCAGCGACCAACGTTGTGGGCGCCGATGTGGAGCAATAGGAGGCATTATTAGCGCTAAGCGCAGCCGCATTCGCCGCAATGGCGGCGGTAGAATTGCAGGCATTGGCGTTGTTGGCGTAGGCGTAGGCATTTGTGGAGTTTGCGATAACGGATGACGCATGACATGTAGGCACATTCAGGGAGGAAGAAGTAAAGGGATAACATTCATCAGCCTCAAGGGTTGTGGCTGTGGCGCTCGCACTAGCGCAAGCACTAACGCCGCTCGCACTAACGCTAGCGCTCACATTGGCACTGACAGCAGCAGCACATTCATCACACGCGCACACAGGTGACGCGCTCGCACACAAATCGAATTCACGCTCAGACGCAGACGCTGCAGATGCCTCGCTAGAGGAGCAATTATTTAGGCTTCCGGTGTGGCATGCGGAACAAGTGGTAGTGGTAGTGGTAGTGGTCGTGTCACGACTATTCGATAAATTTGATGCTTTACCCGTTAATTCCGAATGCGCATGCGTGTTGTTGTCATCGGGTGGCCCAGGACCTGTGTTACATTTAAACATATACATACATACAAATACACATACACATACATACGTGTATGCAGACATATGTTGTATAAAATGTAAATACGTACAAACACACATATACATAAATATATATATATGTATGCATGCACACATATTATATGTTAAATATTATATATACGCGCGTATATATGTATGTATGTATGTATGCGTGCATGATAGGAGAGGGAGCGGTGCACATATTCATATTCAAACGGTTCATCAGCGTTCGGTTGCAGGCAACGGTATATACATACATTTGTATGTAGGTCAGGAAGCGACGTTGTACGGGCAGCCCAAGTGGATAGAGGAGAGCCATGGTGTTTACCGTTGGTATTTGTTGTTGATTTTTTTTTGTTTGTGCAGGTGTTGTTGGTAGTTAATTGATTGTTGTGGTGGTGTTTTTTGTTTGGTGTATGCGTGTCGTAGGATTTTCACAAAAGTTGGCCGAAGATTAGCATTTTTTTCGCATTATGCGCGTTGATTACAGTTGCCGCCGGTTGCAGGATAATCAATAATAATGCAGCGGTTTGTTCCAAAAAAAAAAAAAACAAAAATAGGAAGAAAATTGCTTTCCATTTCCCCGGTTGAGGGATGTTCGGACGTGGTTCATTGGTTGGCACGGTGGAGTTTGTTGTTTTTTTTAGTGTTTGGATATTCATTCATTTGAGGTATACATAAGTATCAGTTTGAAAAAATATAAATTTAACATTTGAGTTGTTTTATAGATAAAAAAAATTATGTACATATATATCTCAAAGGCATGTATAGTGCATATTGCACTGCCAGCGTTATGCATTTGAAATAATATGTAATATTAAATTTAAAAAAAAAATTATAAAATTTTTAACAAAAGAATCGTCCAATACATTTTATATGTATATATTTAAATAATATTTTTAAAATAAAATTTATTACCTAAAGGATGCATAAGTTAATTTTGCTATGATGTTTGTAGTATTTAGTATAAAAAATCTGGAAAAAATGCAGTTCCGTTGCTTTTTTGTTAGTAGCCTGGACATATTAAATTTCAATTTTTTAGTGACTACATACATAATAAACTCCATTACACCTGTTAAACTTTAGTCTATATAGCGCGCGGCAAACGACGAGGTTTGAGTTGTAAGAGTTCAAAGTAAGTTCAAATAAGAAAATAACGAAATGGAACTAAAATACATGTTAAAAGAGCAAAACAACTGAAGATTATCAAAAATAAAAAAAATAAAAAACTAAGAGATGAGTGGCAAAAAACATCTAAAAGCTAGCAAAAATATCAAAAACGCAATTTTAAGTAGACTTAAAACTTAATTTTTATATACATAAAGTGCATTAGAAGAAAATATAAGAAAGAATTTTCTTTTTTAAAAAATTTCAGTCACAAAAGGAGGCCTTTTAAATGTCATTTTAATTTAATTTTGAAATCAAGATATGCATAGTTGGGGGAATAAATATTTATGGAAAACAAAATTTCGGATATTATGATTTTTCAAAAAAGAAATTAATAAAATAGATATTTGTAAAGTAATGTTTTTCTGAAAATAAAAAAATTTTCGAAAGCAAAAATTTTTCGAAGACAAAAAATTTCGAAAATGATTTTTTTTTTTCGAAATTATATAAAGCTTTCGAGATATTTTTTTTATTTTTAAAAGGAATTGACATATTCCAAACAAATTGAGAAATTATCGAATATGGTATTTGCGCAGATCGAAAATTAAATTAAAAATTCAGAAAATAATGATGTGATTTTTTGAACAACGCTTTTTTTTGAAAATTACATTGTCTTTCGAAATAAACTAAAATTTTCGATATTTTTTTGAACATTCCTTTAATAAACTTTTTTCAAAAATGGCATTTAGCGAGAAAAAAGTCATATTAAAATATTTTTTCGCAAAAAAAATGAATTTTCCAAAATGAAGCATTAAAAGAAATGAAATATTTTGAAATAACTAAGACAAGAAAAAAACCAACAGCATTTTGGACGAAATAAACAAAACGAGATTGATTTCATGATTGAGATTCGAATAAAATTTAATTTCGAAAAATGTCAGTTCAAAAGAAAAAATAATTTTCGAAAACGTTTTTAGAAACAAAATAAAATATTTCGAAATAACAAAGCTATTTTCGAAATAACACAAGATTTTCGAAACTGTGATTTTTCGAACAAAGTAAGCCTTTCGAAAATTCGTTTTTCGAGTAAAATAAAAATTTTCGACAAGTACAATTTAATGAAATAAGTAAAAAAAAAGTTCGAAAATTGCATTTTCTGGAAATAAATAACTATTTTCGAAAATGATATTATGCAAAATAAATTAAAACTTTCTAAAAACACTAAATCCACTCCTTTTAATCTGCTATACAAAAAAATGAAGAATTTTTACAAAATAAAACCGAATTTGTGAGAATGGAATTTCGAAATTGAAGTTAATGCAATAAAACCAGATATTAGAAAAACAAATTTAATAGTCGAATTCATAAATACACATATTTTAAAAATATTTTGTACTGAAAATGCATTTAGTACAAATTTTTTTATTTTGTTTTTATTTTTTCCCCAATTTTCTAGTTTTCTGAAATTTGACATTAAAAGGCCTCTACAATAAAAAAAACAATTCTATTGCTATTGAGAATTATTTTTTTTCAAATACAGTATAAATAAAATTAAATATTGCTTACACAGAAAATACATGTGATTGATACACCAAAGACATAAGCACAAATACATACATACTGAAATCAACTTTCTAAAATTATTAAACAAAAATACGTGGGTACATGCATACATTTTTTAATATAAAAAAATTACCAAAATTCAAATGAAAAATTGTTAACAAAAATTAAAATATATATGTATATGTATATACATATATATACATACAACAAAAAATAAAACTCCCAAAAATACTGTGTATTATTGCATATCCAACAACTGAACTCGGTGCTATGTACCATGTTTTACACCAAAAAAAAAATTTTTAAACAAAAATTTTGAATTTGAATCAGAAAAGATTTTCCAATTAAGTTTGAACGAGTGTGTGCAAGTGATTTTTTAATGAACTGTATTTAACGGTATAACGAGCAAACGAACGTGCGAACGACGAACAAACGAATGTACAAACAAATACATTAGAAATAACATAAAAAAGATGTTTGAAACGGCAACAACAACAAAACACTGTTTTTGGTCGCTGAGCATGATTTAAAAACTAATTGGTTTTCTGGGTGGATGGTAGTTCAATTGGTTGTTTAGTTGGTTGGTAGATCCATTGGTTCATCGGTTAATAATCAATTCGAGTGTGTATACAGCACACGCATTTACATATATGTATATATGTATGTATGTGTGTACGTGTATGGCAAATCAACCACAAAGGATATCAACCAAAAAATTCAAGGTCAGCAATTTACGAATCTCTGTGTGTGCGAGACATTTTTTAATTTCTTTTTATTTTTATAATTTTAATTAAACATATATGTATGTATGTATATTCAATAATTATTTAATTTTACAACAAATTTTGTTAAAATAATTTACAAGAAAAACAATACATAAAGGATGATGATGTTCAGCATTGAATAACGTGTATGTATGTATGTATCTTTGTATCCATGTATGTATGTTTGTTTGTAAATAAAAAAAATATATATTTTTTAAATATACATATGTGTATATGCAGGCTAAGTATTTTACAAGAAGTTTTTGTTGTTGTGGGGGGTAGCTAAAATTTTTCGCCGAAGAAAAGCGAGTTTACGTTAATAAATTTCGTTATTTGAATTTTTAAATTGTTTTTTTAAAAAAATTTCGAATTACTCATTAATTTTTTTTATTCCTTTTTTTTTAATTTTTGTTTTTTTTTTTTTAATATTTAAAAAATTTTTTTTTTTGAATTTTTTGAATTTTTTTATTTGTTTTTTATTTCTTCCAAATATTTTAATTTAAAAATTTTTATTTATTTTTTTGAACATTTTTTTTTTTAATTTTTTAATATTTATTATTTTTTATCAATTTTTAAATTTTTTTTATTTTTAAATTTTTTTTAATTTTTAAAATTTTTTATTTTTTTTATTTTTAAAATTTTATATTTTAATTTTTTTTTTTTTAATTTTTAAAATTTTTTTTTTAATTTTATTTAAATTTTTTTTTTTAATTTGTAATTTTTTTTAATTTGTAAAATTTTTTTTTTAATTTGTAAAATTTTTTTTTAATTTATTATTTAAATTTTTTTTAATTTTTTTTTTAATTTTTTTTAGAAATTTAAAAATAAAATTTAATATCTTTTCTTAGAAGCTATTTTCGTGGTCAAGAATTTAGATCAATTTCTTTACAAGGCTCTAAGAAAAAAATGTTTTCTTGATATTTCGAAGTTTTTAATTTTTTTTCGAAAATAGTAATAAATTGAGATTTCAAACAAAAAAAAATTTTTAAGGAACTAAATGCTAACCAACAAGGGAAATAATATAAATATTTTATTTATTCTTGAACAGCCCGATAATTTTTAAGATATTTATTTACAAAATATACACTTTCTGAAGTAGCAGGGGCTTCGAAGTGGTGGCAAATGGAGTAAGAGTACAAAGAAATAATTTAATAAATAAATATACAATTAAAATAATAAATAAATAAAGAGAAAAATAAATAAATAAATACAGGAAGGCAGTATTAGGTTTGTTTATTGAGCAGCTTTATGTTAAGAAAGGTTTATTTATTGTAATTCATAAAAATATTTTTCTTAATTATTTTCTTTCATTCTCAATAAATTTTTTTTTTTAGAAAATGTTTACAGGCCCAGAAAAATTAGCTTTTTTCCAAAAAAAAAAAAAATTTATGATATATAAAATTAATCATACATATTTTGAGCTCTGACCAATAGTCTTACATATTTTGCAAGAGAAAAAATCATTACATTAAAAAAAATCAAAAGCTTACATTTGAAAGTGTTGCCCGAAAAGTGTTTAATGAGATTTCCGACTTTTTTTCTTTGAAAGCTGTGCTACTCTACAAACAGTTTCTTTAAACAAACCTAGTATATTGATTAAATTTAAAAATATAAAATAAATAAATAAAAAATAGCACACAGTACATACTCTTTTGTAAAATTTATTAAATATTCCAAAAAACGTTTCTTAATAATAAAAATATAGTTTTTTAAATTAGGAAAAGTTCAATGTATAATCTAGGGAAATTTTTTCCTGAAATTATTTTTATATACTAACAGCAGAACTGATTCTAATATATTTATATACAAGGATACAGAACGACGAACTCTTAGCTAGAACAATCAACCGTTACACCTATCCCGCAATATTGCGATCGAACAAAACGTATGCTGTGTTGGGGATATACCAAGAGTTGAAGAGGGAAGCGAGACGCCTTTACATTCTAAAAATCGAGCGACCGAAATTACGAAACAAATGCGGCGTCTTGAGAAGATGTCAAGACCGCAGTTACCTTTCCAGAACCAAAAGAGGTGAACTCGAGCTACTAAAGACCATAGTATACTGAACTGCTTGATGTCAGTGAAAATAAACAAATGTAGGAACAATGAAATAATGGCGAGTCCTTATCAAATTATGTAGAAACCTGAATATCAATTTTCCGCCTCAAACCAATTACACCAATTCTCAACATTATCGCACATATGATCTTAACACAGCTCGAAAAATTGAAGTCCATCGCCAATGAACTCTTTGGAAATTATCAATGGCTTCAGATCTGTTAGATCTACAATTGATCAGATATACACTATACGAAAAAAGTATAGGGACATGAAGGCAGCACTCATCCAGAAGAGGCCATCTTTGATCAACAGAATCCATATTTGATTAACAGATGCCGAAATATGTTCCATCAGGATAACGCCAGGCTACACACGTATTTGTTGACGCGCCAGAAGCTTTAGGAGATCTGTTGGGAGGTCCTAATGCACCCGTCTTATAGTCCGGAACCGAACGAACTCTCTACTTGACATATACGACAACAAAAAAAAAAACTCCGTCAAGATAGGGAAGGACATCTCCGCTTAATTTGGTCTAAAGCCTGAGTAGTAGTGAGTATCGTGTGACTTCTTCAACACTAACACTGTTGGCACTCACAACTTTAAAATCCTAAATAAGTTCGTCAACTAAAATCGATCGCCCCTATAAAAGCTACTTTCGACTATGATGAGTCGAATTCGAGAAATTTCGAAAGAAATGTTTTGCCAATGACTTGTAAACCATTGACGGTGACGACTAGAACTACACCCCCCTCTGCGGGTAAGGGATTCAAAAATTTACCCGCGGTATGGCATGCCTGTCGTAAGAGGCGACTAACATCCAATAGTTCCCGCGACAAAAAGAACTTTGGGGTATAATTTTGCGGTTACAACAACAACACTAGAACTACACTGGCCGAGTTATATCGTACGGAAAATGGAAGTTCAACATCTTTGAAGGTATGCGATGTAATAACCACCGACGGAAGCAAACGTAAAAAGAAAAGATTAGATTGGTGTCTCCTAAGAGAAGAAACGTGTGACGTCTTGTTGTTGACTCGGCTATAATTGCGTAAGCGGTGGTTTTTTCTTGTTCCTTCAAAATTCTTTATTATTCATACAGTTTTTGAATGAAAATAATCTCAACCAAAAAATATTATTAAATTTACATTTATATATATATGTAATTATGCTAATCAGACAACGTTATCCACTTTCCGCCACGAGCATAAGATTCTACAAAATCGACAAATCAAATCGCATCAAAGTAAAGGACTTGAGGCGAAACGGGGGTAATGACTGCTGAAAGGGGCACAAACAACATATAATCTGGAGTCCTACTTATAAATACATATATATATATATGTACATTTACAATATTTCTTGTAAATAAGATACTTACATACCTATTTATGCATGTATGTAAGTATGTGTGTGTACATATCATCATATACATATGCATGTATGTATGTATGTATGTCCGAGGCTACATTTTACGCTAGATATTTTTACATAGACATATTTATTATAGAAATTGTCTGCTTGTGTTAGTAATTGTTAGTGTGCATTTTTAAAATGTAACTTGTATGTATGTATGTAAGATTATATGTATGCATGTACTTGTATACGACATAGTTGGCACTTTCCAAATATAAAAAAGGAGTACAAAAAACAACATCACAAAGTACCATAATTATTATCATTTTCTTTTTCTCAATACAATTCTTCTCAACGTATAAGTAGTATGTATGTAAATGAAAAAAATCAAAATATTTAGTAGTAGGCTTATAAAAAGCGCATCTCGACACACAGTGTTGCCAGACTGAGATGTGATGATTGTGCGTATGAATGGAATAACCAAAAATTAGCAACAAAAAAAAAATTAATTAAATAAGCACAAAAATGATAGAGAGTGTAGGAGAAAAACACAATGAAAATTATAAAAATAAAAAATAAATATAAAAAATGAAAATAATAAAAAACTATATAAAATAAAAAATAAATAAATTATAAAATTTACAAAAATTAAACATTTAAATAAACCAAAACCAAAAGGTAGAAAACGTGTTATTGAAAAAAAAATATATATATAACAAAATTTCTATAAACAAATTGAAAAGTAACCAAGGAGTAGAGCAGGAGTTTACAGGGGTATAACTGTTTTTTTTATTTTATTCAATTTCCATAAAATTTAAGACACCGCATGGTTCCAGCTGAAAATCGATTAGTTTTTAAATCTGTACTTGAAACGCACACTAATATGTATGTATATATTAAATTGAATTTCACCATTTTACATATTCAATTTTAATAAATATTTTCAAATTTAACTATTATGCTTGGGGGTAGTGCGTATGCGTATTTGGGGCATTCAAAACGAACGAAAACCAACAAGATAAAAAAAACTTTTATAAATTTCATGCCATTTTTGGGTAGGCAAACTTTGTTAGTATGTATTTTGTTAAAATGGCTTTTTTGTTTAAAAAAAATATCATAAAAAAACTTGTTACAATAATATAATTTTTTGTTAATTTCACTTTAGTTTAAGCTTTTTAATGTTTTTAATTTAATTTTGCATTCCAATTAACATTTCAAAAGGTTGCTACCGAAAAAAAAAAATTCCTAAAAGTAGTTAATTTGCTTAATTTTTTTATTACTCTTGATTATTATTATTTTTTTTCTTTTTTGTTTGTTTTTTTTTTTTTTTTTGCTAAGCACACAAGTAACGTTAGCTTGCGTATTTGATTTCTATTGATTTTCTACAAAAACGTGTTTTGTCAAAATTTGAAAAAAAAAATTGTTTTTAGTTTTATTATAATAAAAAAATACACTAAACTAAATGCACTATTTATTGTTTACATATATATTTATATGTATATATTACATTTTCATAGCTTTGCTTATTGTTATTGTAACTGCATTTCTACTTACTATTGTTGGCGAGTAGATTTTCGTGCAATTTATCGCGTTGATCCTCGAGCACCTCACCCAAATATGCGGCGACTTTGCGTGTAATTTGCTCCACATAGGTATCCAATTTACCCAAATCATCGGATAGACCGACCAATTGATCGAGTGTACCGACCTGTTGGCGATTAAAACAATTAGTTAGGAATATGACAAAAATTTTTTCATGGAAATAAACAATAATAAATCATTTCTTTTCAAAATTTTTGTTGAATTTTTATAGTGGAAAAAACACAATTTTTAATTTTTACCAAAATTATTTTTTTTAAATTATAGTTTTTATTTTTTTTATTATTTCATTATTTTATTTTTTTATTTTTATTTTATTTTTTTATTTTTATTTTATTTTTTATTCAAAACAAATGTTTATTTTAATTTTATTTTTTATTTTTATTTTTATTTTATGTTATTATTTTTATTTTATTTTTTTATTTTTATTTTTATTTATTTTTTTTTATTTTTTTTTTTATTTTTTTTTTATTTTTATTTTTTTTATTTTTATTTTTTTTTTTATTTTTATTACTTTTTTTTATTTTTTTTTTTATTTTCTTTTGANTTTATTTTTTTTTTTTTATTTTTATTTTTTTTATTTTTATTTTATATTTTTTTTTATTTAATTTTTTTTATTTATTACTTTTTTTTATTTTTTTTTTTATTTTCTTTTATTTATTATTTATATTCTTTTATTTATTATTTATTTTCTTTTATTTATTATTTTTTTTATTATTTATTTATTTTCTTATTATTTATTCTTTTAAAATTTATTTTATATTTTTATTCATTTTTTATTTCTTATTTATTTATTTATTTTTTTCAACTTTTAGTTTTTTTATTTTTATTTTTTGGTCTTAAGGAGCGAAGTCGAAACTTTTTTCACATACAAATAGTGGGTTAATTGGACAATTCTGGTATCAGTTGAGCATTTTTTTATATATTTCTTTGTCCCATTTCGGTTATTGACAATAGTTAACAATTGTACTAATAGTTTGGTTTCTTGATAGCAGTTCAAAATAGGTTTTAGCCTTGGCAGACAGGAAGTGTGCAGTTCAAGTCGTCCAAGAGACTTTAGTTATCGAATAACTCGCATATAATCAGCGCAGAACACCTAAATGTAGGCAACATTTTGGTCTATTATTTATTATACAAAATTATGAATACATACATACGTGCTGCTAGTATGAATGTAGCCAGCTTTTCTGTTTATTAAAATTTTTTGCGATACAAAGTATTGCCTACTTATTAATAGGGTGCCTAAATGTAGGCAACATTTTGGTCTATTATTTATTATACAAAATTATGAATACATACATACGTGCTGCTAGTATGAATGTAGCCAGCTTTTCTGTTTATTAAAATTTTTTGCGATACAAAGTATTGCCTACTTATTAATAGGGTGCCTAAATGTAGGCAACATTTTCTGTTTATTTGTCCATATTTGGGTTTCACTAAGTTTTATTTATGTTATTTATAGATTCAATTGAACAAATACATATTGAAATATTTTTAATATGAAATAAATGACATACAATTTGATCTTAATTTTCTTTTATTATAAATTTAATTTTAATTTTAATTTATTTAACTTACCTTCAAGTCGGGTATATGAAACTTGTAATTGTTGCAAAGATTATTTTGTTTGCTGGTGAGATTGTTCATGGTATCGAACGTTTGCTGGCATGTTTTATCGCCAGGGGCTGAAATAAGCCAATACTCGGACATCTTGATGATATCTAAAGAAAAGTACAAATGTGTACCAAAAATTTATTAAACAAATTTTATAACAAAAAATTAAAAATTATACGTATCACACACGCAAACAAACATACACTGTTTTGAAAAGTATATTATATGAAGCGGAACCTCTTACATACGAACATGCATATTTAAATAGCAAATCTCAACCACCATTCCAAATTAAATTGTATGCTTAGCATAAAAATTGAATTTCAAATCTCTACTACGCAAAGTTTGAAATGAAAACCTTTGCCAAGCAATGGAGAGAAAAGAATACCATTCAAACTAATCACAAACACACACGCATACACACACAATGGAGAAAAAACACTGAGTGACATGACATCACATTGCCTAACAGAGCAGAGCAGAGCAGAGGAGTCAATGGTCACTTAATGGACATGATGTCTCGACGTGCGATGGAAATTGCTTGCGTTTAACTATTGTATTATATGAAATAGTTATTCAAATGTGTATATAAGCGTTTGCACGTTTACTATAGTTATCAACACAAGAGTGTACAAACCCAGTGGAAGCGTGAGAAGTGTAAAAATAATATTACGACTCAGCGCACAAAGAAACAACGTGAAGCCGGGACAAAAATGAAAAAAAAAATTATAAAAAAACGAAAAGAAAAAAGGAATCATTATGTAATGAAAGTTGTAAAAAAAGAAGAAGCGTAAAATGAAGGTTAAGTTGAATGAAAATCGAGTATAAAACGCCACTTGGCTCTTTTGTGGCAGATGAGTTAAAAATGCATTGTGGTTGTAAAATCAATAGAACCATTTCATTATTTATAGTGTTGTAAAAGTTTCAATTGATATTGCATTGAACTTGAACGACGGCGGCGGTGGTCATAGGCGATATATGATGAAGGACATGAAATAGGAAGTGACATTCAATTTTCAGTTAACCGTTATTTTACATACACATGACAATGCATTATTATTTATTTACATACATAAATATGTATGAAGTCACTTGTATGTATGCCACGCACTCATACATACATATGTGCATGTGTTAAACGATAAGTGGTGCGTCCACGGCGAATGAGTAATGTATTTAACTTAACTAAGTATAGTCGATACAATCAAGATAAAGTTGATGTACTTGGTCAAGATCCATAAAACTCAATACTAATTAATGAAATTGCAGATGAAACGTTAGATAAAATGTGGTAAAAAACGGTGGAAATTTACTGTATTGAATAAATAGTGCAATAGATTATTGATATGAAAACTAAAAATAAAAATTTCATAAAAGATTAAATTAATAATTACTGCAATAAATAATTTCATTTGAGGTATTGCTCAGTCAAGAAACTAAAAATTAATCAAATTAAAACAAAAGGATATAAAATAAAAGAGAGAAAATAAAAAATTAAATTAAATAAAAACATATATGAATAAATGCGTTGAAATAAAAAAGAAAAAGAAATAAAATAAAAAAAAAAAAACAAAATAGAACACAATCAAATAAAAAAAACGCAAAAAAAAAATAAAACGGAATTAAATGAAAATTAAATAAAAAATAAAATAAAATAAAAAATATAGATTGTATATAAAAGAAAATTGAATATAATAAGAAACCAAATTAGAAATAAAGAAAAATATATAAAAAAATAGAATGACATAAAATAAAAATAAAATTAAACAGAAGAAAATATAAAAATAAAAAAAATATAATGAAACATAAATTAGAATATACAAAAAAAAATTTAAGAATATAAAATATAAATTAAAATTAAATAGAGTAAAATCAAAGAAAATAAAAAATAAAATTGTTTAGAGTCAAATAAAATAAAATGGATTAGAAAAAAAAATAATAATTTAGAAAAAATAAAATAAAGCAAGAGAAAAGAAAATAAAAAATAAAATAAAACAAACAAAAAAGATAGATTGGAGTTTAATAAAATAAAATTAATAAAAAGCAAATTGAAGTAATACAAAATTAAATGGAATAAAAAAAACTAAAATAAAAAATAAATTTAAAACAAAATTAAGCAAAATAAAATAAAATAAAAATAATGTAAAAATAAATTAAATGAAATTAAAATGGCATTAGGTAAAATTTTAACTAAATCTTAATGAAATGTTAGCAGATTACATAAAAGCCACGGAAATATATGAAAATTATATTGCAAAATATAAAAGATCCGCGTCTTTTAAATTAGTAGGAAATGTAGAGGCACAACTTATATTCATCATTAGCGTTTTTTTTTAAGAAACCTATAGTAAACGCTAGAGATATGTTATAATATGTAATTTTAGTTCAATAAATAGATTTATTGATAATGCAAAAAAGGAAGTTTTTTCACACTTTCAAAACTATTAATATTTTTTTTTTGATTTTCATAAAAATGCTGATGCCACTGAAAACAATTTCATTTCCCATACAATTTCCGATAGTAAGCCACAAACATTGGAATTTATTGAGAATATATTTTTTTTTATTTTTAATTTAAACTAATTTTTTTGTACAATATTTTTTATTTATAAAGTTAAGAATTTACTAAAAATAAAATAAAAAAGCTATTATTCATTCATTTGACCACATTTTCAAGCTATTGACATCAATTAACAAACTAAACATTATTTTTGAATATAAAAATGAAAATTTTTAATGAATTTTTATTAAATTAATATATTTTAACTCTTAACTGTTTACTTATAAAATTTGTTTGTTTAATAGAATTTTTTTTTTAACTCAAAAATTAATTTTTAATATTTTTTTTAATAAAAACTATACTTACTTGTATTAAACAAATAAATTTCGTAAGAGAAAAAATTATAAATAAGTTATATTTCAAGAACTTGTTTTATGAATTAGCGGAATAAAAGCACCACATTTATGTATATATGTATATGTGTGTGTTTGTAGTTTAAATCGCCCACTGAAAGAATGAAAACTCTAAAATATCAATGGCAATGTTCATACAAAGGAATTGACTTCAAAACTTATCATTCATACTGAAGTAACAACAAATAAATATAAATATTTGTCCATTATTTCTTTCTTTTGTGCATTCACATATTTTACTACATACTCGTCCGTCGATGGCACACAACAGCAATTTAAACCTTGACTGGTGTTGTTTTGAGTGCTTAGCGTAAAAACTTAGCTGGCCTCTTAACATTTTCCACAATAAATAACACTTTCAGCATTTACAACTGTAGCTTTATTTATTTATTTTTTGTTTTTATTATTTTTATTATTACGTATGTGCACTATTGACTTTAACTGAATTTAAATGAATTTAAGTAATTTTATTTGCTTCCTTGCTTTTGCCAGCAATTTTATTACGCTGTCAGTTTGTTTGGAAAATTAAAAAAAATTTAATTTATGCTTTTATTTTATTTATTTCTTTAATATTTCATTAATAAAGCACCAACGAAGGTTTCCGTACACAACGAGTCGCGCCTTGCAACTGAATTCGTCCTGAGAACTTTTCGTTCTAACAAGCATACTTACAGACGCAGCCACATGCGAAACTCGCATACAAAGTTCGGCCACAGATACACTCTCCGACCAACCCCACAGTCACATATGGTGCGTTAGTCAGGGTAAAATAGTAATAGAAAAGATGAAGATACATACATATGTATATCTGTAGGTTCATACATACATGCAAGCAAACGAGTCACTACTCACTGTATGCGCTTGGACATTGCGGCGTCTATTATTGTCACTTAGTCATTTGGTTAGTCGTGTAGACAGTCTGGCTGACTGCTTGCGTGTATATGTTATTTGTATATTTTTCTTTTTTTGACTTTCTATGTATTTTTTCACTTTTCTCTCTACTTGTGCACTTTCATCACATTTTGGAATTCGTGGCGCTTCATTGCTCAAAAAAATGCGAAACATGCAATAAACGCACACCAACATACATACTATACTATGTACCTGGGCATGGGCATGTAGATATATATATTTGTTTATATGTATGTATGTAATTTTGTTTTTTACATTGTATTTTGGTTATATTAGAAATGGTGCACAAAATGTCAACAATGTTTACGTTGCTGGCATTTAATTACTGTGTTACACTCGCACACATATATGCGTAATATATATGTATACATCGCTCTTTGCCATGGTGTTGCAGAAACTAGCTTTATAACTGTTCAGAAGAGATCGGTTTAATAGAAAATTTGTTTTTTTTTCGATTAAGATAAAATAAATGGCGCGTGGCAGCGGAAGGTGGCTGCATGCATTTGGCATAGAAGTTGTAGTTAATCAAGTTAAAGAAAATGTTTGAGTGTACGTACATACAAACACATGTGTGTATAGTATTGTATATGTATTCTTATGAACATTTTCATTATTTAAATTGAACTTTGAAGGGCATCGAGACGACAGTATACGAGGTTATCGCAAATTAATGTTTATTGCTGTTTTTTTTTTTAATTTACTTTATATTTTTAGTAATTTCAGTTTTTTAGTAGTTGCATAATTGCACTTATTTTTTTTCCTTTTTTCACTACTTGAACTTGTATATTTTTATATTTGAATAACACAAAATTGGCAAAATACTTTTTTGTTTTGAAACTACAAGCGCGTATCTGCAAAAACTTGCAAGCTCACAGAAAGTTGGCCTTAAAATATTTATAAGCATTTCATATTTGCTAACTTTCTTACATGTAAAAATTCTTCCTATTCACTAGCAAAAAACAGGCTTTCATTAAATTTAATATAAAGCTTGTGTTTTCTAGTTCAAAATTTAATATTAACCGATATCAACTGCCATTTTATTAAATGCTGAATCATTGACACTGCATTTATGTTTCGCTTTCCCTTTCTATGGGACGAACTCCCGTAACTGTCAGCTTACTGGCATTTGACAGCTGTGTGCTGATCACTACACTGTGGGTTTCAAACTGCGAAGGATTAAAGCTTCAACTAGACGATTGAAATGTGGGCAAGTGGCTCTCAAACTAAAAGCGCGTTAAGAAGGCATACAAGAAACGTGTGTTTGAAAAACTTAATAGAGTAA